AAGAGTAATTCAACACCAATACCAAGATCAACTATTGTCGTGGTGCCAAATTAGTTGCATGGTGGCAAATCTCCCGCTGATCCACAATGGCTGCGACTGCCTGTGGTGATGACGATCTAGGACGGGCTTTGGTTAGGTTGACCTCGGGGTTCCAGGGAAACACAGCTAAAATAACAAAACTCCGAAAAATGGAGATTATGCTGGGGCCCGCACAACTAGTGAGGTGGGGTCGTTCATATCCAAGTAAGTATTTAAATGTTTTGCGGTAGGATTTAAAAAGCGACAACTCGTTACGTCGTAACAAGGTTCTTTGAACTGTGGATGGTTGAGCTGGTTTTCTTCCATGGATTTTGTTCCTCCCCACGATATTTCGGGGTGGTCCAATAAGGTCGTGGCGTTCTTCGCAAACCAGATTTATGAGGTACTCCTACGCATGTGTTGTTTCACACTTTAGATTTTCCCCGCGTTTTATAGCTTGGAATATTCCATCCGAAGCAGTTGCCGTCTTGATGGCGGTTGCTCCTGTTCCTCAATCCGGTCAAAGAATGGATAGCTTCAAAAAATCTCTAGAAATTCTTCTTTAACACCACAAAGCAGTGCTTCGTCATCTGGCTCTCGATATCATTACATATAAATGGATCAGTGTTGCAAATCACATAGTAGTTCTTATTCAGAAATTTACTTTAGAGGTTTGTCTGCAGACACCACCTGAAGCGATATGTCTGTCCCTCCATCTTCCTTTCTCGCTTTTTAATGCACTTCCACAGAGTTGTATTGAATGATAACGACGGCTTTCAAATGGAACTCGAATGTGCCCGCGTGAATTAGAGGGCGTTTGCCTATTTGGCACCAGTTGTCGTCCAGAGCGGCGACAATCTCTGACGTAGGTTTACTTTTAACTGAATTTTTGAACGGGGGTTTCCAGCTGGATGCTTGGATATGCTTGTGAAATGAGAGTGAAGACCCAGCTGCATATTGCTGTTAAAACAATCTCTCACTATCGTCGGCGATAGAGCATTGACAGAACGGCGAAGCGCTAAGTTCAATAAAATGACGTAGTAAAGCAATTAACCGTCCATATTCACCGTTATACTCTTCAAAACGCACGACATACTTATTCGATATGATAACTGCATTTGTTTAAATCTGTTGTTCTCTTTGCTACAGCAATCGCGAGGTTGTTATTCAGCAAGGTTATTCTTCTTGAGAGCCTGGAAGGGTACACTAATATGTAATTTGCTAGGTCGAGCGCTTCAACAACGCAAGCAGAAAGATGGAAATCTGAACAATAATTATACAATCACTAGGTCCTCGAAAAAGCCACCGTTTTTATCTGTTTTCCGCTAAGGAAGAACAACGGAAGAAGAAAGAAAAAGAATATGTCATTACGCTTCTATGTGAATTCTATGCGGTTGGTCTCCACGCGACATACTCAGTGGAAGACTCGTAGAAAGTGGCTCTGAAGAAGACGAAATCCGCCGAAACGTCAGCTGGTTCGTGAATAAAGAAGAAAATAACACCTTGTTTTTGTGAAATATAACTTAAATGATGCTGAGATATTTGCAAAACTCCGGACCGCAGGTGTATGCGGTGGGGAATGAACACGCGCTGTTGTCCTTACCGGGAGCAGCGCACTTCACCACCACACCATTCGGGTCCTTCGCTTTGCCTGTCTCTGAGGTAGTTCTATCGATCTTTTGCCGTAGTTGAGTGAGGTTGCCTCATTCGGGCGACGCTCCACTGAAGAACATTCAGTTCAATACGACGGCGAAGACACCACATGGAGAAGACGAACGACTATGGGCGATCGACTTTGATCATGCTAGCCGAATAAACATCTTTTCAACATCGTGTTGCATTAATAATCTAAGAAGGTACTTCTTACCGTTTCCCCTACTGCGGAGTAACTGGGAATGTGCCCGTCATCGTGCTCCAGCACATTTCCCAGTCGTCTCCTTTGCTTGCCACCACCGTCCGTGACGGTGGTCTGTTTTATGTATGGTGTCGTCTGGGAGTATCAATCCGTTTAGTTCACAAATCCATATCTTATCTGCCTATAAAAATCTGGGCACTGATGGAAATGTTGTGCTAAACAAGTGAATGTTCCGTTGTTCCGAGTTCGCTGTCTTCCTTGTGAAGCTCTCGAATATGCTCCATGTTGCACAACGTCTTAAGTGTAATTCTCCATCGTCTGAGTAAGCTCGTTCATTAGAACACGTTCAGCGATCAAATAGGAGTCTATGTTACTAACGAACAATCTTAGCTTGTTCTTTATCCCATCATGGGTTCTTATGAGTTGAATTTTCTTTTGATTTATTCCAATTCTTATGTTATCGCTCAGCCTTGTCTTTGTCTTACTGATAATTTTCTAAAAGGGCGTTTCCGTTAACAAAACAAATGTTTAATAGGAGTTCTCCGAATGCCTATTTTTGCAGCCAAGTGGCTTCATTAGCAAGTGCAATGCGGTGGTAAAAAATTCCAAGGAACGGGTTTTTCTTTCTCCTTAAACAACCTTTCTTTTATAGAGGCAGTTATATAGCGATAGTAAAGCTGTGTTTTTCTATCTACGATAGCAGGCGACCAAAGTTACTAGCTAGTAGGGACCAAGTAGCGTTGTGTAGAAAGTTTTTTCGGACTCACGGAGCACTTGGTGGTCTGGGGATACATCTGTGGCCATCGCTATGATTTGTACGAGCTTTTATAGCACCGCGAACTCATAGTTCGACAGGAAGTTGCGGAAATATTCCTGGGGCAGTGTGAACATTCGTGGAATAATTTATTTACCTGGGACGCTTTCCTTTGGGAAGTATTTCTCACATGAGTTGAAAAAAGTACAGGTAGATTGTTGCTTCACGCTGGAAGGAATCAAACCGTGGTGTCATCTGGCCTGGGGATGGGTCTGATGTGTTTATGGCAAGGTGAACTTCAGAAAAAAACATATGTGGTTATTTTTCTCCGTCGTAAATTTCGTGCACCAGTGCAAGGAGTGTGGGATGGGAAAGGTTGTATTTGAGCTCCTTGCAGTCACAAAAGGATTTCTTTTATTAATCCCATTTGCACCTTCAAGACTACAAGCGGAACAGTGTTTGTTTGGATTTTAACTTATTTCCTTGGTTCGGTTCTCCGAGTTGCGTGAAGCAGTTTTTTTCTTATTACATTACTGTCACATGGTTTCCTACCACGGTGCTTAACTTTTATTTGCTGGCTATTATTTTTTCGTAGCAGTGTATTATGTGAAATACACCCACAATGGTGATACCGGGATATGAGCAACTCAGAATCCCAGGTGTGCTTCGAACCCACGATTACCCTTTCCGGAGGCTCACGTGTTATTTAGTGTTACCTAGGCGCTTGTTTTCTCTCTCTCTCTCTCTCAGGCAATTTTTTTTACAACTTTTTACGCTAACGGTGCTATCAGCAATCACCCATCAACGGGAATGATCTGGAGTGCACAAACATTGTGACTCGACTTGTTTCGATTGCAGGTTTTACTTTAACTGAGTTGCCAATTTGTGCTCCCAAGATCATTCCTGTTCAATAGTGATTGCTGACGACACCATTAGGTTAAAAAGAAACCCTCGAAACGGTAATCGCGGGTTCGAAGTTCACCTGAGTTCCGAGTTTTGTTCACATTTCACATTATTGTGGTGATATATGTATATAATGTATGCAGCAAACCACGTTTCAGGGCGACTGTGCAATTCGCTACTATGAAGTGAATCAGGAGTACCCATTTATGCATTACATTAACACCTACACTACCAGTGAACCACAAAGGGCTATTGGGTTTCAGTGCAAAAGAGGAATAAATTCTGAGGAAAATGAGATAAACAGGTATGGAAATCTTCTAAAGAATCCATCTCATACTACTATTGTTCTTCTCTGAGAATAATCGCTAATGTGCTATGTTTAAATAATTACTATAACGAAGTGTTTGGAGCTTATCGATTCCTGAGGAATGTGGTATGCATTCAACTTGTGTTTCATCCTCTGAGACAACAGCACCCCACTCCCAATCAATCTGCCACATCAGCCTATTTAGAATAGAAAAATTACAATAATCTATTCAATGCTGTCAATAGATATCGTTTGTCTGACGCTGTGGAAATTATGGCAAGATTTCTTCCTTTGAGTCTCGCGATATCTTTGGCCGGTAGTAGCCAGATCGTCGGTTCATAGCACTGGCTTTCTAGCCGAACTTCTTTCCCGCTTTGATGGCCGTCGGGAAATGAATCTCTTGCTGTACATTGCAGATCGACACCTGGAACGTTGAAGCTGAGAGCAATTAAAATTATTAGTTTACCTCCGTATCTCTATCAAGTCTACTGGAATTTGTTACATATGGTTGGAGATGCCATCTAGCTCTGAGCGGAGCTGTGCAAGTATTTTACGGCTCGAGTAATGTTACCTAAGTTATGGACCGAATGCTTTCTTTATTGGCTTTCAACACCCGATTTGTCTGTGTCACTCAATTTTTTCTTTTTTTGGTACAATTTTTGAAACTCACCCAAGTGATGCTGAGATAATCACAATCTTAACCGTTTTATTTACTGTTTATTCTTTTTTAGCGGCAAGGTATACATTGCGAAATAACTTTAATGATGCTGAGATATTTGCAAAACTCCGAACTGCAGGTATCTGCGGCGGGGAACGAACGCGTTATTGTCCTCTCCGGGAAATAACGCGTTCACCACCATACCATGCGGGTCCTTCGTCTCGCGTGTCTCTCAGCTAGTTTTATTGATCTTTTTTTTGATGGCAAAAGATTTTTTGATCGCAAAAGATCAATAGAAGTAGCTGAGTGAAAGACGAAACGAAGGAACCGAATGGTGTGATGGTGAACGCGTTACTCTTCGGAAAGGACAATAGCGCGTTCGTTCCCCACCGCAGACACCTGCGGTCCGGAGTTTTGCAAATATCTCAGCATCATTGAATTTGTATTTCGTAATATACACCTTGTCATTAAAAAGAGTAGGCGGTAAATAATAAGTTAAAATTCACTCACTTAATTTAGAATTTACAAGCTCACAACAAAGGGCGTCGTTGACGTGCTGCAGTTCTTCGTCCCTAGGAAATCCGATCTTTTTCAGGTCAGTCTTTCAAACTTCCTTCTTTGCTTTGAGCCAATTCTATTGAAGTTTTTCACGAAAGCATTTTAAAAAATTCAAATTTATGGATTTTACTTTTTGTTTTAGCACGATCTGTACCCAGACACCAGATCTACGGTGCCTCCACTCACAGCTGAAGAATTTATGGAAGGTGGGAATATGGGCAAACTATATTTGGAGTAAGAACCTAAATCCGCAACATACAAATGAACAAAGAAGGTCCAAAAACATCACAATTCGTTTGTCTGAGAATTGCTTTCCTCTAAATACTTTGATGAATGAAAGTAATCGCCGTAGTCGCTGAAATCTCGAGCATCATAGACAACAGCTATGGTGAACTTCATGAAATTCGAGTAATGTTTTTCAGGAAAAAACGCAGTGCCGAACACTCAGCCGGTCAATCCGGCCGCTGCACAGGCTAAACCGAAGGTTCAGGTGAGTAGCGTAAGTCTTAGCATTTCTTTATAGTCTTATTAACACTGATTCTCTTTGCAGGTTGTAAAGAAGGCGAACATCCTTAGCCAACTTGCCCCCACTGCGTTAGTTTTCTTTCCTTGTGTTTTGTTTTCATTGGCCAATTTTTTTTTTCAAAATTTGACTTATCATTGTTGTCCTTCATTCGAAGGATCTGTAAATAAATAAAAGAATTTCAATAGCCCTTATCTCATTCGCATACTTTTCATATAAGAGACGTTTTGACAGGTAAAAGTTCTTTATCAGATGTAGTTTCATTACGAATGAAATCATAACAAGAACACAATCGTGCTTGAATTCAGTATCCAAATTCGTCTCCTCTAAAAAGTGGTTTTGTGCTAGATTGATTTTCAGTACCAAAATCTGATTCTAGTGCCGACTCTTCACCGGCCCGATCTTACTCCGAACAGACTTCCCCTCAAGTGTAAGTGAAGCAATGCCTCTTAGTTCTTCTGAATGCTAATCGAATGGATTGATGTGAAGATCTGCTCCACCGTCTCCACGTCCTCAGCACCAACAACAACAGCAGCAACAACCGAAACGGCCTGTGATTGATGAGGATATGGGGATCGTACCGATGAGTCAGGTCTGTGCTTCTGTGAGATGCAGAATTTCATATTCAACGACATTAGCAGTAATGAAGTATTCTTATCACGAATTTTTTCAAAATTAGCGTATATAATTGACACAAGGGAAATTTAACTTGTTAATAGTTATCATTCAAGGCGTAAGATGGATCCTAGACGTCTTGCAACACTTTGTAAAATTTACCTGTGTCCCTTGTGCTATGTCTTAGTTTAACTAGAGCAGGCATCAGTGAAGTTCTCCTCAGCCTTTCCAGCTTTTCGGGGTTGATGCTTCGTGTTCCAGGGACACGAAGTGTATAATATTTTCCATATGCCTCGATGGAAAGGATTTCATTTAAAAAAAACTTTGCCATTGACTCCTTGCATATTTCTTGCACTACTTCTATCTAACATGCCATGGAACTCACTCGTCACACAATTTTATTCGGTTACTCTCATCAAGACGTTACTTGTGGCATTCGGCTGATTTTTGATTTCTTGGAGGTGCTGCATCGTCCTCATCATTACTCGCTTATTTCGGTCAAGATTTCAGATTTCACCTCCCATTTACATGATATGCGATAGTCTTAGAATCCTCTTAGCCGCACATTCATTAAAACCGACCACACTTTCATCTGTGAAGAGACGTAAATCAAGTCGGAATAAATGGCGGAATTGAAGAGATGGTGACGGAGACGAGTGCTCTTTCAAACTTGTTTGCTAGATTCTTGATGTTTTTGCATACTTCCCTATCCACTCGTGATACACCCATCCTCTTTCTCTTGGAACAGAAAAGATACACATAAATGAAAAAAAGATCGAGAAGTGGAAGAACGCAGTAACTAACCTGTATGCACACGAGTGAGCGGTAGTAAACCTTGCAAGGTCTGGAGTATTAGAGCTGCGCTTCTCTCTCTCTCTCTCTCTCTCTCTCTCTCTGAGATCTTTTTGCAATGCTTTGCAATATTTGACACAAGGCATTTGTTCCTTGGCACATCAGCTTGAAATTTCTTGCAGATGGGCGTTTCATGGTTACTTTTAAACACTTAAAAAAGCGGGTAGTGATAACGACTCCGCTCATTACGTGGACGGTCCAACCTACTCAGGCGCTGGTTGGACCCCGTAGCGGCTCCGCCAAGCCCCTCACCTCTCAGAGGTCGAGGAATTGGTACCAAACTTGTCTGGGACAAAGCTACTCCCTCTAATTCACCTGGTAGCGCTCTAGCACAGTAATCTCAAGGTTTCACGGAGAATCGACTCGATCAGCATTTAATGACATCGGTGACCAAGACCGAAAAACTCTCAAGCAGCAGCCGAAGCGGTACGCAAAAAAGTTCGAAGACCTTCATAGTTGGTGGATGCGAGGAAACGAACTGAATGCAAAAAATGCAGGACAGTGTGATACATATGATCATGGGTCAAGTAGTAGAAATTAAAAGAATCGACGTTATTTATAACGTGTCTTCTGGAAAGCTAAAGTAAACATATCTTGTTCCAAAATTTCCTTTCTAATTTTGGGGCTTTCTTTTCATTGGTCAAGAAGAAGGAAAAAGAATGCCGCATGAATGAGGGAATGGTTCGATTTTTTTGAGAACATAAGGACAGCAGTGACATCGGTTAAGCAAAACGTTGGACTCACCACGAGCAGATCTAGTCAGTATCAATTGAAAAGTTTTTATATCGAACAATAAGAGAAGTGCGATGTTCCCATATAAGACGATCGTCGTCATAACAAATTTAGACAAACTTTCCTTCTGTTCATTCCACTTCCGTCCTTGGATCACATTATGAAATAATTCACACGTCTCTTTGAGGATGATGACTTCGTAGAGAATTTGATTTTCTGTATAACTTGTAGAAATCTATATAACGACCCTCGATCTCATCGTACAATGTTGGAGAGTTACCGACAAATACTGTTGAAGCCAGCAGTGGTCCACATCATTTCAACAGTTAACGTTCCTCTAGTGAGTTTCGATAGTCGTCCCAAGAGATCGATATATTTAGCCAAACTCGTTTCAACGAGGGCGAAACTTCTTCTGTCGCATGTTTCGAGAAAAAAATGTTTGCCCTTTATCATAGTATAAACGACGCTTAATGAATGATTTGATGCTATTTGGTCCATCCTACTTGGTTTTCTTAGTTTAAATCAGCAAGTTCTCATAAGGGTTCTCGGTTGTACCGCATTTCCATCGTAAGTAGTGGTCACCATTGTCCTTCCAGTTTTTGACGGTCCTAATTGACCGTGAGATTTTAGCAGCCTTCCATTACTCCAGCGCCGCTGTATCAGAAGCTGCTATGGGCTTGATTGAGCAAGCTCCTTTATTTTTGCTTTTCCTTCTACTTTTTCTTCGTGGACACTGAGGTAGTTGTCGAGCGTGCTTTTCTAGGGTGGACATCCAGCTTTTCGTTCTTGGGAATAACCTAACTTCCTCCAATGTGCTTCGTACTCACTTGCCTGCAAGCTTTTGGAAATACCGATGTCTAGGATACAATCCCCACACAGGCCAGTACACACGCACGTATGCATGGATGTGCCTGTATAAATACGGAGTGTAGCGCCTTCAACGCTTGACAATACTTGAGGTCACCCACATACAAATCGATAACTACGTGAATATTGGATATCGAATGACTTATTTTCTTGACATGGACTCCTCATCAGCTCTGCGACTCAGAAATAAGGTCGTCCAAATCTTTCGAAATCGTAAAAACTGCTTCATTCTCACGGAATGAAGTCTTTTTTTAAGAAAATTGTAATACACTAGGGCTCTCTCTTCAACGTATTCAAGCGAGTCTTAACTTTGACGAGAAGAAAGTTCTTCTTTTAGCTTGGAGAGATTTGGAAGGAAATTTGTGCTCTGAGTTACTGCCAAACAGTGCCACCGTCAGGGAGTTCACATGCACTGCTAAACCTCAGAATTTGGTCTACTTTATTCAAAAACATTGTCCATAGCACTATAAGCTCTCCTTTCTATCTAGCAACTCCCGAAAATCCAATTTGGTTTGGAGCTTCGCCTAAAATTCTATCCACTTCATTTTTTTCCTGCTATCATTTTGAATGACGTGCAAGACAAGAAGCTGGACGATTACGTGCATTCAGATTAAGATCAGCCATTTTATTTCATAACTTCCTCTGTTTTGGACAGAAGATTTAGAGGAGCTACACCTGTGGTGGACAACATCAACCAGATATTATTAAGATAATAATTGTTATATTGAACACTGGTTCGCGTAGCGCAGTGACTGGCGACCCTTCGGGATCGGCAAAGAGTGACTTGTATGGGTGAACAGAAGACAATGACTTCAGGAAGGCCTCCACAAGCTTAGGCCAGATGTATATTCAATCACCTCCATAATGCATAACCGAGTGGAACGCATGATACATTCTACAGGGTTTGATCAGTGTCGAACGCTACATCCACTATCCGTTACTTGTACACTCCAAATTTGTTTGGATGAAGTTAGAGAATTTTGAGGAAAAAAACGTCCATGATCATCGATAAGCTGCTCAAAATTCCCCACTGCAAGAAAGCTGATCTCTTTGTCGATATACATACATGGAGCCTTAGCCTTCACAAGATTGCGTCAACACCTAAGTAATTTAAACCCTGAATTTAAATAGACATTTTTAATATTAGAAGGAAGTATCTGCATAGGTGCCTAAATACAACTAGCGATTATGTTAGGATTCATAGAGCGCTTAAAAGATTCGATGCAAGTGAATGCCACATCATTAGAATTTCCCTAAGACTTGCTAAAGTTCCTTAAGCTTATTGCTAGATCCCACACATGTGCGGCTTTTGGTATCAGAAATACGATGGTGTAAGCTGTAATGAAATGTGATCGCCAATGAGCGTTTAGGGTAAGAAGTAGATAGTACTGAAATGCATGGTTTGAAACAAAATGGCCGAGATTTGAAATTATAGGAATGAGTTTAGAGTATATCTCAACACATGTTGAACAAGAATATAACATTGCTACCATTCAGACGAAGTGATGATTTTAGGTGCAGCACCGCCAACAGCCCACTCGTCAGCACCAGGAACGGCAAAGTCCAGAACGAGAGAGGCAAAGTCAGACCCCGAAGCAGCAGGTAAGCGTCGTCGTATTTCCACTAGACGGTTGCTCTACAGAAGCCGCCCATTAGAACCGTTGTATTTAATTTCCAACCTTATTCGATCATTGCTTGTTTACTTACTTTAATACTTGAACGTGACCTCCCTGCACGAACCACGAAGAATCGTGCGGTATTCAGTGTAATTTTCATTTTATCGCTAATTTGCTCACTAGGCGCGGTTTTCTTCCCTGGAGTCCCGAAAGTCGTGCAAGAACATTTCCATATCGATGTTTGTTGGTGAGCTGGTGATGTTGTGGTCAGGATGGCCGTGACGCTTAGCAATGGTTAATGGACATCTGGCTGGAGATGTTGAGTTCCTCAGGATAAGAGGCCTACCTGGAGACATTGATCCTCTCTGTACATTGCAGTTCAACACGAAGGAACACTCCGACAGCTGTGATGAGGCGGTAAACGATTACGGATAAACGATAAAGCTCTTGATGTTAATCAATCCCTGAGGGATGCGCCATGCATTCAACATCATCAAGCATCGTTAGAGATGATTCAATGCATATCTGGCCTATACAATGAATGACTCGCGGTAGCCATCGATGTATCCAGTTAGTGCTGCTATCCTCCCAGACAGGTCTGGTACTAATTCCCCGACACCTAGGAGAGATGGGTTTGGTGAGCCTTGGGCGCGGAATCGAACCTACTTGCATTGTAGAGGCCCCACTAACCAGTGCGCTACACCCACCCTCCAATAAATCATTAAAAGAGGGCAATGGATCACTTACGATAAAAACTTACTCGGATACTTCAATGGCTCGTCTTCGTCTTAGTCGGTGTCTTCTCACTGGTTGTCCGAGTCCCAGCATAATTTCTATTCGTTTCTCTCTCGCACAATCGTCGTTCACCGTTTTGATCTGTTTCCAACATGGTCACGTTTTCGAGGCCTCATTCATCAATCCTGAAATCGTTGCTATCTGCGAGTGGAAGTGGTTGACGTTAGGCACAACGGTCGTCCAAACAAATCTCCAACCATCGTTTTGGTGGTCTTAAAGGGAGACACTTGCATTCACTTTGAGTCCACTCCACTGTTCTTTGTAGCCACCGATGTATCCAGTTAGTTCATTCGTCTCTCATCTGTTCTTCTCATGTGACCCACCCATCTGTGTTTCTTTACTGATGTATATTCTCCTGAATCACGAAGATGGGTCTGAGCGCATCGTTCAAGTTCTCTGACGGTGGTACCCAGATTTCTTGACATGGTTGAACTATCATCTCACGTTTCTGCTGTATTACATAGCGCTAGCAGGAATGTTAAATCAAAAAGCTGAGAGTGGAGTTTTGGGTCCCTTAGTTAGTCGGTGTCTTCTTTAAGTAGCCCTAATGCGGTCCATGCCGCTCTCCTTCTTCTAATTCCTCCTTGCTGTTCTCCATACTCACTGAACGTCCAAGGTACACATATGAGTTGGTTTTTGTAATTAGAGAGCCATCCATTTCAATCTGTTCACCTTTGTACCATGGGTTCTTCGTGAACTGGGTCTTCGTCCCAGTTCTGCGCAGTCTAACCTTTTTTTCTCGCTTCGTTGAGTTCATTGAGCATCTTCTCTGCTTGACTGGTACTGTACGAAATGGTGACGATGTCATCCGCGTAACTATAAATTTGATAGAAATCTTCCATCTCTACGTATGCCCTTCTCCTCCCGATCGATTGACTTCATTATCCACTTCAGTGCGGCAGTAAACAGCTTTGGTGGCATTCTATCGCCTTGTTGAACCCCTTTTCTTATGGGTGTGGTGAGAGTCGATGGAAAAGCTGTATATTTATGCAGTAGTTTCGATAAGAGTTTGTTGGCGTTCGTGTATAGGATGAGTCCATTCCTTGGTTGACGAGCGCTGATAAGATTGAATTCGTTTCGACGCTGTAAAACACATTATTATAGTCGATAAAGATTAGGAGAACGGGCATATGGCACTACCGATAGACTTCTATAACTAGTGGTAGGGTTTGCATGTGGCCTACGCGGAGGAATCCCTGTCGGGGTCCTGCTTGCTGAACTGTTTGTGCCTCACCCAATGTCTCCGATATGCGCAAGAGCACAACCTTCGTTAGCAGCTTGTAGAGTACAATCAACAAACATACTGAAGGGTAATTACAAAGATCCATTCATTCACTCTTCTTGGGTATGATGACAATGGACGAGGTCCTCCTGTGGTCTGTAATTTTTTCTTTTTGAAGGCAATATGTCATGTGGGTTGCGAGAGCTACACGTAATTCGTGGCCACCAGCTCTAACGAAATGGGCGGTAATATTATCGGATCCTGGAGCTGTGTCTTCCTTCATGCTTTCTATCGCAACTAGAACTTGAGAGGGTAGATTGCTGCACGGTATTTCAACATTTCCCTTATTAATTTCATATCATGGCGGGATGTGGTGATAATCTCATGCTTGTTCATCCAAGCGGATAGTGGAACATTATAGTCGCAAAATTCCCGACGGCACTTCATCAGACTAGATCGTTTCTGAGCTGCTTCCACTATCTTTTTCTGCATATACCGATGTGAATCCTCCTACAAAGATCTTCTACAGTTGGCATTAATTATAAGCCATGTTAGGTGTGCTGTAGTAGGATTAAGCTTCAATTTCCTTCTTCTCTCGAGCAATATTTTAGTAGTAAGGAAGATGCGGTCTGAATTTCTCGTTTAAGAAACTGAAGTGAGTTCGGCACAAGTTTTAAGTCCTTCGGCAAGCAGCATGTAATCATGTGTCAGGTCTTCATTCATCTGCCAATCATATGAGAGGACTTTGTTGATAATATTCCGATCATACACGACTTGTTTTATTTTTCTTGGACGATGATGGGAGTCCATTCCTAGTTTTGGCTGAATAGAATCTTCTCACGAAGGAGGTGGTGATCAGATCCAATTACCACTTAGATGTCAAATAGGCACTATTTTCTGCTTGGGAGAATGTGATCGATCTCCTATGAGTCCTGCTATTAGGAGACTCCGATATCTGTAGGCGTTCTCCTCGAAAAATGCATTCCCACAGAAGAGACGTGCCGCGAGCAGGAGTCCTACCAGACAATTTCTATTCTCATTTCGACTTCCGCTTCGAAATTTTTCTCGTTTGAAAAAATTTTCAAATTTGAACGTTGGACGTTATTTGTAAATAAAATTTATCTGTTTCATAACAGGTTACGACGAAGACCATTATTCATTTTTGGACACCTCAAACGTTATAAAACACAACAGGACTGAGTACTTCACTTCTTTTTCGACTTTTTGTACCTACCTTTTTCTTAATTGTTGCTATTAATTATAATACCGATTGCGGCAGGTAAATCTGCGATCGCGAGCTGACAGGGACGTGGGTGGTGGTGCGCAAACCGCCGGACAGAGGAGGGCAGCTGCTGAGCTGGAACGGATAAGGAGAGATCAGGTGATTTTAAGCGATTCTTTTATTAATGCCCAGCTAAAATAGAAGCGCAACTGTCGCAGAGCTGACCGAATGCATATCTGGCCAATACAATAACTTGCTATGGTTTACCGATGCGTCAAGTCAGTGCTTCCTAGGCAGCCGTGGTACCAACTTGCTAAACCCGCAGGGGTGGAAGGTTAGAGGGGTGATGAAACATTTACACTCACTTATTAACTAGATCCCCTAATTAAATATGGTTGTAGTGGTCTATGAGATTGTTTAATATCGTGAATTTATTTATAAGTGAATGTGTGCAATTCAGGCACGCGTACCCGACGAGGACTGCGTGCCACAACGGCCAAACCCTTCCGCACGAATGAGTGTTAATTGTCTTGACGTGAGTTAAATAGTGGTTAAATTTGCACATTTGCCATGAACAATGTCATGTGTTCACCATGTCAAATGTTTTCCGTGCTTTCTGCTTAGCTTTTCAAAAATTACACATCAAAACATAGAATGATAGCCACACAACAAGGTCGAGCATTCTGAGGGGAACTTTTCCATGAGTGTTTGACGTTCCCGTTCGGAAGTCTAGCTAAGAATGAGAGGACCTACTATGGCTACCTTATGGTCAATAATACTAGAAATATGAGGCGTCGTACCAAAAGGATGATGTTCTTCGCCTTCTTCTAACTGTCTGACGGAGTTCAGTGAGCATGCGGCCTATTCGAATGGAGACTTTATTAACGTGCGTTAAAGTTAAGCGAGAATTAACGCGATTAAGGATGATGAAGATGATGACATAAAACGCCATTTTTGTGTTCCTCCGATTCCACAGCACACAAGCTGACCACGTGCTGACCACGTGCTCTCTACGTGCTCTCTACGTGCTGAATTACGACACGACTAAGCGCGGCGACATGATCTATATCACCCGTCGTCCCGTTGATAGTCCAGTGACTTTAGAGAGCGCCAGTAAACCTTTCATCTCTCGCTGTATTGTGGAAGAGTAGCCCAGTGGGTTTTGCTGGCTCTAGGGACTCGTTGAGCATTATACCTTTCTTGTAGGGCTTTTGTGAAGAACGTTGCAAAATAAATGTTTGGTCTTCTTCGTCGTCGTATATCGAATGATTCAATTCACTCTCTCACTTATGCGATATACCATACTCCTACCATCGTCCTTTCGTTTTAGCGTTCTATAACACTGATTGACCACTCATACTGCTTGTCTAGCGACCAAGTTTTTGACGCATACGTTAAGGTAGGAGGAACTGTGGAGTCCAAAATGTGGGCATGGAGTCGGGTATGTTTTTCTCACTACATCATTCAAGTTCTTGAAAGCTCCCAAGCCTCTCGCTACCTCCAACTCAACTCTGGAGATAAGTCGTTCTGTTGGTGATCACGTTGGTTTCGTGACCTAGAAGACAGACGTAGCTGGAGCATTCAGAAATGTTCATGAATGGGAAATAAGAAATAAATCCTCCCTCACAAACATCGTTTTTGTGAGATTTAGTCGAAAATTAATCTTTCCACAGACGTTATCAAAGTAAGCAAGCGTTCGCTCCGGCCCAGCTAATGCTTGGTGTTATAAAAATAGTGTCATCAACAAAGGGAAGACGGTATAATTGCCAACCTGCCATCAATTTTCACTTCCATGTTGTCCCATTCCAATCTGCACATGACGTTATTAAGAACGGTAGTAAATAATTTTAGGGAGGTGGTATAGCTTTGTCTAAGCCATTTTCTAGGTCCATGTTAATATCGCTATAGAATGGTGATATTTTACAATCACAATGATGCTGAGATATGAGCAAAACGCGGAACTCCAGGTGAGCTTCAAACCAGCGAGTACTCTTTTCGGATGCTCATGTTTTATCAACAGCACCATCCAGGCTCTTGCTTTGTCTTCTTTTTAGCTTTGCTTTCAATTTATCGATACTATCAGCAATCATCCGTCAACGCAGCCCTCAGCTCAACTGAGTTCATGGCCGATTTGTGCCTTCCATATCATTCCCATTGATATCAACCTTGCATTCAAAAAATTAACGTGTGATGAGCCGAGCAGTGTGTTTGTGAGGACTGGCAGGTTCCTCAGGTGTTCGGATCTTATGTTGCCCGGAACTAGTGTTTTACAATTCTTGACCGACGAAATAACATGTTGGATTTCGGAAGAGGGAACGATATTTTCATCCTGTATTTCATATGAGAACAGGAGGCGGCTATTGATGAGATCTGAGTAATATTCGTGGATCATTTTCTCCATTGCCTTTCTGGACGCTGTAACCGTTCTGTCTGGGCATCGAAGTGCCATCGCCTTGGTTTTCTAACTGGCGAAGCTTCGGTGGGCTTTGCGAATGTTTTGCCACCTTCTGCAGCTTCGAGCATAATGGCTGGTCTTCTTCTTTAGGATCTTCTTTTACTGCCTGTCTGCATTGTTTTGCAAGTTCCAACATGAGTTGGCGAAAATAGTGTCATCAACAAAGAGAGGACGGTGTAATTGGCAACCTGCCATCAATTTTCACTCCCATGTTGTCCCATTCCAATCTGCACATGACGTTCTTTAGAACTTTAGCTCGTGCAATTCCACGTTGGCGTATCAACTCCAGTATTTCCGGAGACAGACATCTTTTGATGACTTTCGAATTCTCAGCTGTCATAGCGCTAGCGTGAAGATGTTGAATGAGCCGATCATATTCTTCGTCGATGACACCAATAACGGAACCTTCCCGAGAGCTGACTAATGAATTGAATAAATCCCAGTTTATGGTATTTTTGGGATTTCGTTTTCTGAACTTTGCTGCTTTTTCTCTTTTCTGAGAGAAATGGAATCTTCAGCGGAAGAGTCGATGGTCTGATCCCATGTGGAATTTTGGGACAGTAGCGCAATCGGTTAGGCAATACCTTTGATTTATAAATAAGCAAGTGCACGACGTCTTCTGTTCTCACCCAGTCCGACGACGCCGTACCTTATCCTTCTTGCTTGCACGATCGGCTGCTTTGTGAAGGGCTCAGATGAAAGTCACCGTGTTTTTTAGGTATAAATCGTCAGCTTAGTCCTTCGAGATCTAGGCCTAGAACAACGTTAAGATTTTAGCATCTTCTCCTTACTCGCTCTATCCAACGCTGCCGTATCGGAGGCTCTTTCGGGATCAGGGGAATGAAGCTCGTTTATTTTACCGTGTTTAGCGTTTGATACCCACGTATAGCTTGCTGAGCTCTGAAGGTGAGGACTCGATATGCTTACGGATAGCTTGCCAGGCGTTTCCAGAGTAGCAGATAAGGAGTTTGTTTGTTGGAGGGGACTCACAAGCCCCTCCCATGTACATTCCAGTCACTGAATTGCAGATTGACTCGTACAGTACAATCCGAATAAACGAGAACACACCCACGCACGCATACAATGGTACGTACTCGCAAACAAAGAAAGCATATAGCAGATCGGTGCAGCAGGAACAGAGTCGGACCCTTGGACCCGCTTGCCTCTCAGGGAAGCATAAGGTCGCTTTTGGTACGCGGTTAACAACCTATCCAGCAGAATCTGAGGACGAGCCACGTTACTTCACGACTAACCGGCATGAGACCCCTTCGTTAGGGAAATCCGTGCACATAATGATGAGACATATAGAAGAGAAACATCTCTAACTCCCTTCATCTTTATTTCAGTTTAAAACGTCTTCCCGTGTTGTTCCTAACTGTGAACTCACTAATCTACCTGTGTTCAGGGTCCCACGAACATGGAAGAGCTGTTATCTGACCTTGCAAAAATGAAAGCAGTTATGCGACAACATGAAAGAAGAATTCGTATCCTGGAGGAGGAAATTGCCGAGAAAAATATGAGCAACGCATATTCGTTTTGAGAGAATGGACGGGCGAAAAGCCATAAGCATTGCCACAATTGAAGCAACAGACTTCATTTGTTGCAACCGCTTTCCAATCACTCTACATCCTTTCTACGTCATTAACTCACGTGTGTACGAATTCTTGCTATAGCTCTGTTCGGCTAGTGTTTTGCTATAGTAAAGGCTTCTCTATTATGCTCAGTATCGTTAGGCTTAATTGAACAAAAATATTATGTGTGTACAGTGAAGTAAGTGTACAAATGTAGTTTATTCGCATATTGCGATAAATGAAGAAATAAATGCTATTAATCGTATACCTCACCTGTATTTACACCTCACTGTTTCCCCATTAAATGATAACTAAATGATAAAGCTCTCGGCGTTGATCCCTGAGGGATGCGCCATGCATTCGCTTTCATTAAGCATCATTGGAGGTGATTGGATGCATGTCCGATCTGTACAATAACTCGCGGTCGCCTACCGATGTATCGAGCCATTGCTGCTATCCTCCCAGACAAGGCTGGTACCAACTGGCCGACCCCGGAGGGATGGAAGGCTTGGTGGGCCATGGGCACGGGGATCGATTCCACGTGTGTGTTGCAGGGCGTCCTCGACCACAGCGCCACACGCACCCTACGCTAGACACGGCCGTTAAATTCACCTCAAGTGATGGTATTGTTATCATATGATACACTTTGCTATGGCTCACTACCCAAACTGTCTAAGTATTCAAGTAAGTAGTTCCGTTCACGACAATCGTGTCTAATGCGTGATATCTTTAGTTCCACAAAGCTCCACACAACATGTCTCAATTTTACCGCCGTAACTTTAACCTACGCTTTTTTAGCTGAAAGTTAGAGTGTAAACGACAAATGAAATGAAGCAGATGATCTTTCTTTCACAAGTTTTGGAAGAACTAGAGGGCACATCATCTAGACGGAGGTGCGTCTCAAGGAAAGTACATAGGTAGCTTTCATGCACAAGAAACCCTGCACTAAAGGGAAGCATCATCTAATCTCATAACTGATCGACCGCCACTTTTTCAAAGGAGAACCACATCTGTTCATTGGTACACTAAGAAACAACTAAACGAAGACGGACAACCACCTACGCAGTATTAAGTGTCTACAGTCACAAATAAACGAAAAGCAGTCAAAGAACGTCAGGCAGAGGAACACACTGAGACCAGTGGTATTGAGCCATTCTTAAAGAGACGAAGTGTGGAGATGCAAGTACTAGGATAACACGCTCCAGCGACGATCACCGCCCGGCGGGAAGAACGACATTCGAGGAATGGGCGCGAAAATGACGAGCCAGGATGTGAACGCGTCTCGAAGTCACTTCGTCTTTCTTGGTTTTAGCTTTTCTTTCGGTGGAAATGTCTGTGGCCTTTCACATCAGGAAGCTTCAGTTGTTCGGTTACTGTTTCTCAATCTCGTTCTGTAGAGGATCACAGCTTGATTCTCTGTGTTGCGATTATTTCACGTTGATAATGCAACTGTTTAAGGAGTGCTGTTTTATTCTAGGTGAACTATGTTCACTACAGCAGTCAGAAGTGTACAGCAAGTCGAGGACGTCGATGGCGTTCGTATACAGGCCGAATTCAGCCGGTTTATGAAAGAGTGAGAATCTGCTTTTGAGTAACAAGTTCGTGTCCACCCTTCGGCACATTGGTTTTGCCCTGAATCTCGTTTTTGTGTTGCTGACTGTAATTGGCTTCGTAGAACTTGTTTAGATTCGCCGCCGAAGATGGGGTACCGATCTATCAAAAAGCTATTGAGAGCTTATCCGAGGCGGAAAGAAATACACTTTTTGTCGATATGCACCACGTTCACTCTTACAGTGCTACATTGTACGAGTCAGTTGAGCTACAGTTCTACAGGTACGTCTTCTTACTCTGTTTTGGCTTATCAGTCGCTTTGAATTAGTGTCCATGTTCCGGTAATGCTAGGTGGTTTCATTGCAATTGCGAAGGCCAGTTGTCGTCAGGGAAATGTCGCATGGGACTAGTTCGTTTAAGTTCGGATGGCATGTGAAACATGCTGACGATAAAATAAAAAAGTAGGCCAAACATGTAGATGTGTGTATTTATGTTTCCACATACGAATCCTTCTCAACGGTTTACCGCCTCATCGTGGCTGGGAGGTGTTTCTGGGTGTCGGACTGCGATGTACAGCGGGAGGATTCGTCCGCCCGCCAGGGTCTCCCAAACTGAGAAAGAGTCCGGCGTTTCCATCAGGAAGCTCAGCTAGGAGTAAACCATTACCAGGATACACCACCATCCTGGTATAGAACTAGTCGCATGGTGGCAAATCTACCTCTGATCCACATAGGCCGGTGAATGTCTCTGGTGGCGAAGATTTGGGGGAGGCTTTGGTCAGGCAGACGTCGCGACTCCAGAGAACATATGCGCTGGGGTCCACATAACCAGTGAAGACAGACCATCCAAGTAAGTGTATACGAATCACTAACAATCCTTCGATAATGCTTAGAATTGTTAGATTCAAAATAAACCATAATGTAGTAACTGGAAGAGATTAAGGTTTCGTTCTTTCTTTCTTTCTGTAGTGTATGGTGGGACAGTTCTGAAGTTGAAATTACATCAGGTTGTATCCGTACTTGTGTGAAGCTCTACGATTGGCTGCTATTGACGCTTGTACAGAAGATGTTGACCGGCAGTTGATGCTACGCAAGGAAGTCTACGTATCCTTCAAAGGGCTGGAGAATCGCGTCAATGTAGGAGTTTTTTCTATTGTTTATTGTTATCACGTGATGGGGAAAGAATTATATAGATTCGGGAGCTGACTGCTGAAAAGATTGGCGCAATGGTATGCATTACTGGTCAAGTTGTTCGAACGCATCCAGTTCATCCAGAATTAAGCCGTGCCACGTTCATCTGTGAGGACTGTGGTGTTACAGTTAGAAACGTTGAACAACAGTTCAGATATACACAGGTATGTCTTCTAAGTTTAAGATTTTGACCACCACACATTCACATTGACGTTGAGCAGTTGCAGTGGTAATGCTCAATGTCAATGGTACTACGTAAACTTGGTCTAAATGTGTGTTTTGTTACAGGATATTGCATTTTCACAGTAGTTCCAAATTAAATTGACCCTTCAAATGGCATCTACAGTTTCTTTGTAAGTGCTGTTTTAAGAGTCAATTTAGTTTTGTTTAATTTCCTTTACTTCTTAAGCTTTTTGTAGTATTCTGATTTTCTATTGCGCTAATATCCTTGGTGGGTAGCACGGTGGTAGTGATGTCGGTTGTCACGAGCATGGTGCTAGTCCAATTCCGCTCCGAGCCAACCAAACCTCTCATCCCTCCGGGGTCGGGAAATTGATACCGAACTTATCTGGGAAAAATCACTCTGCAATTCAATTGGGAACGCTCCTACCCGGCTATCTCAGGACTCCAGGGAAAATTGCTCGACCAGCGTTCTACAACATTCAAGATGAAATGGAAATCATCAAGGAGCAACCGAGGCCACGCGTAGAAACTTGGAAGACTTTCGTGGATGTTGACTGCGAGGAAGGGAATCAAACGTGGGAGTGCTGGGATCCGCACAATAAATGTGCAGACGGGTCATATTAGAAAATACGTCCTTGGTACTTGTGGAAATAGACCTTATTTTTTCTCATTGCTGTTTAGCCTTTTTTTAGCCTTCGCGTTGTGTGAATCCGCAGTGTATTAATCGTACACGATTCAGTCTTGATGTGGATGACTCGTCATTTGTCGACTTCCAGAAGATTAGAATCCAGGTGTTTTTTTTCTTAATGTTGTTTTGAACTGTTGAAGAATTAGAGTGTAAATTACTTCCAATCTTATGTCTGTCATTGTAGGAGACACAAGCTGAACTTCCTCGTGGTTCCGTGCCTCGTACGTTCGATGTAATAGTTCGTGGCGAGATGGTGGAAACAGTTCAACCAGGTGATCGGTGCAGTCTTACTGGTACTCTGATAGTAATACCAGATATCGCTCAGTTGAACACACCTGGTTCGTTATAACTTATTTATGTAGAGCTTTTCACTCGAACGCTTAATTTTTTTCACCTGATTATCCAATGGTTTTAGGTCTTCGAGCGGAAACTGGTGGTGGAAACCGAGGCCGGGCTTCTGAGAAAGAAGCTGGATTAACTGGGCTGAAAGCATTAGGAGTTCGTGATCTCAACTACAAGCTGGCCTTCCTCTGTTGTCATATCGAATCGAACAACACTAAAGTTCGTGCCCGTTTTTCTTTTTTGCCTTACAGGTTACTAGCTCAATCGGGGTGGAGGGAGCTGAATATGTAATATTATGCCCGTTTGAATTTGGTATTTCATACCTATTGATTAGAAGTTACTTAGATGTTTCAATCTGGCATCCTTACACATAGAACGAAATCCAGCTTTATATGGTATGTATCTCATTTCGACAACGGAGAACATTGCGCTGCCGTGATGAGGTGTGATCATTTGAGGGCATTCACATAAGCGTCCGCAAGCAGTGGATGGGAATCTAAATTTGACATACCTAGACAATTACCATTACGGCTGTGCTCAAAAACACATAGGTTGAAGGTTGCGGTCTAATTCATTTTGACCCTGACAATTTCAATGAATTCATGAGAATTCGACTGGAAGAAGTTCCTGAAATCTGAAAACTATTTTTCTTTTACTATTTGGAAAGCAGGTCATGTCACAGGTCTACGACGTAGTATGATTTCAGTTCGGAGGAAAGGATTTCTCGCATGAAAATGTTGATAGCTTAACGCTGTGGAAGAGCATGTCTGATCATGAGCATTCTGTATTGAAGTCGATGAGTGAGGACAAACGCATTGCAGAAAACTTGGTCGACACCCTCTTTCCCAACGTTTATGGAAATGATGAGGTACAACTGGTCATTTGTTTCAAAGAGCACTTGTTGTAAATTAATCCTTACCCACTTTACTCTTAGGCGTAATGGCCAGAATTCGAAATATTCTGTTAAAGGTGAAACTAGGTGTACTTCTAATGCTGTTCGGAGGAGTTCCAAAGACGAGTAGGGATGAAGGGACGACCCTTCGTGGTGATATTAACGTGTGCCTAGTTGGTGATCCATCGACAGCGAAAAGTCAGATACTGAAGTGAGTATTTTTAGCGTTGGAGATCGAAATCAGTTGTTCACTGTGGTTGTGTGCTTAAATGAACATGTTCAATGTTCGGCAGAATATTTTTTTAAACATTTAACATTTGCTTGACAGGACATTCAACATTTCGACATTTATAACGTTAGCATTTAACATCTGTTTATATCGTTGAGCTTTCACGAAGTTGATAGATGTGTTTATTCGGCCAATGTTTCGAAGTTTTCGTCTTCATCAGAGCCGACGATCCTTGTTGATGCTCTACAGTTGTTCCTTTTCTTCTTGCGGCGTCTTCATTATTAACATTTGACATTCATTTCATTTAAATGGGGCAAGCGCAGTGGTAGTGTGACTGTTCATCACAAACACGGTCTGGTTCAATCTCGTCCAAGGCTTATCAAGCATCTCACCTTTCTGGATTTGGGAGATTGGTACCAAACCACTTTGGTACTAAATCCCTTCCTCAAATCTACGCAAGTACGCTTTGGCACAATTATCCAAGAACTCGAGTGAGAATCGACTCGACGATTATTCGGCGGCATAAAGTAGGCGGCATTTCTCAAACAGCAGCCGAACATACACATTAGGAATTCAAAGACCTTCGTGGATTGTAGACGCGAAAAAAGAATAGAATGGAGGAAGTGCTGGAGAACGCACAATGAAGATGGATCATTTAAAGCAAGTATAATAATAATAATAATAATGGTAGTGATAATAATAGTAATAACAATAGTAATCGTAATAAGTACTGTCTCTCATGAGCTTTTCATAGGTCGATCCTCCGCCAGCTTCAGCTTTTAAAGGCCTGAAGTTAGACCATTATTTTGTAAACAGTTCTGCAAACTCAAAATAGAAACGTTAAACGTTTAGTAAAGCTTTGTATTCTTGTTGAGGAAACGCGAGGTGCTATTTTTATTCTTTATTCACGAATAAGCTGACATTTTGGGGGATTTCGCCTTCCTCAAAGCCTGGAAAGGTCATGTTGATAGCAATGTATATGGCCAAACAACTTCATGACTAAACAAAGAAAACGCTAAACCAAGAGTTCAATCACATTAAACACAGCTTTGCACACTCACCGCTTTCTTTGAGGCTTCCGCTGAGTATGGTGCGTGAAGACCAACAGCACAGAATTCACATGGACGTGTGATGTGCCACTGCCATCAAAATAACAGGTTTATATACTACCCAGTATCACGCGTGATAATGAGGCATTCTTCCCTGCGGTTCATTTTCGGATTTCTGGAATTAATCCAGAGTGCCTCGAGGGTTTTTCGCGCCTGTGTTCTCGATTCGCGTGCGAGGATCGTGACACATACTTCGAAGTCGTCCCCGTTATGTCTCTGGGTCCTATGCGTGCCTAGCGGGGTATTTGGTCTATTTTTGCCGGCTAGGTGTTCTTTTATGCGGACAAAGAGACGTCTGCCCGTTTCGCCAATGTATTCGTCTCCGCACGCCTTACAGGAGATCAGATAAACTATACCCGAGCTCATGCAATCACCGTCTTTACCATTGGGGCAAATTATGCAATTTTGCGTTGCACATAGACGGTTATATAGGCGGTTACGAACTAGTTGTCGCCTAAAATTACTCGGTGGCATTTCAACTACGTTTACCGAATTCTCTAGCCGTCCTTCTTAAGCAGCGTTTTATAGCTGCACTTACACCATTTGAGATGAAGGGTAGGATAAACGTTGGATAGGTCGTGGGAGTTACTGCAAGATGTACCAGCTAGATACTTCCGACTTGTAAGAGAAGCGTTGTCACTTAGGCAAAAGATCGTCTTAGCTCGACAGTCGATACACTTTCTTCGTTTCTGTCTAAAACAGCTGGGTGTCCCGTCACCGAGTACTGGACATCGAATTGTGAGTATTACGCACCTGTCTACGAAGCCGACAAAACCAGATGTTCGCCAAGTGGAAGAAGTGCGAGATGAAGGAAAACTTATGCTCAGTGTTTGGAGGACCGCCTATGGAGAAGGATAGTGGGTAGGTCAGTGTTAATTTGCCACTCCATTACGTCTAATGGTAAAGTAGCTTTGCGGAGAAAACTCGAAAACCTTTTGAGTGAACCGCCAAACACGGCTTCAAGAGCGCACAAGAGTACCGTTAACGAACATCAAATAGGTCACAGTAGGATAAATAATGTGCAGGAAAATTCAAGGTTAACCGTGTTAGAAGACATGATTCTCCCTGATGGTGCGCGCTCGTTATTAGAATTGGGACCGAGTTTCTCCCCATCGGAACCCATTTCTAAGATAACTTTGCGTTGGGTCGCATGTAGTTTACATGAATTTCAAGATGGACTCCGCAAAAAAGCTATAGTTGGAACGCAAAATAGGTGCGAACAACACCAAGTAAGGCTCTACCTAGCACCATTTCCTCAGCCGTTCTTTAGAAAACAGCAGCCCAATGATGAAGTCGATGTTAAATTTCGGATGTTTACGAATGAAAATTTCATAGTCCTTAATCACTATTGCGCGGAAAGATACAATTCCAATCTCACTGAAGGCGAAAAACGTGGTAGGCGAGAGGTGCGAGGGCTGATAAGGTTGAAAAACATAAGACTATTCGTTAGTGATGAGGGTGGAGAGTTTGTCGTAATTCCCCATCAGTTAGGTGTTGAGATAACGAAAAAGCATCCTGAAGATGCTTCATTTTATCGCCCATCATCTGAGAAGCAATTTAAAAGTAAGTACCAAGAATTGGACCATGAATGGTCCAATATGGCAAGGGCTGCTGGTTTAAAACAATCAGTTATCTCTTAACTAAAAGTTGACTTACCAACATGTCGCGTCTCGTATTTGCTCGTAAAAACTCAAGTTAGTATCCAGCGATGATCTTGCGTCTACTGATCCATCATTGCTTAAGGCTAGACCTATCATTAGCTGTGTAAATTGGCCAACGCATAGGATAATATGGTTTTTAAGCCTAATATTTAACCAGTTGTTGAAACACATTTCAACCCGTCTTACGAATACCCAGATGTTTCTGGAACACCTACGACTGCGTAGCCCAGAAGCGCGTACGTGATGGAATACTTCGACGTTACCGCCTTTCACACAAGCGTATCGAATGACTCCCCAATGCAAGCCATATTCGGATTCCTTATACAACACGAAGGAGAAATAAACATGTATGACTTTAAGATGGAGCAGTTGATGGCACTCTTAAAAGAATTCTTGAGCTGCTCAATCTTCAGATGGTTAGGAAAGTACCACGCTCAAATAAGACGGCTAGCAATGGGACAACGACTGGCACCAAGTCTTGCCATTCCGTTTATGTCTAAGGTGGAAGCACCAGTGACTGATCTCGGTCCGTTACTCTACTATAGGTATATAGATAATTGCTTGGTCATTTCAACACAAGAGGAAATTGACAAATGTTTCGAGTCCTTGAACGAATAGTCAGAGTATATTAGATTCACCCGAGAGAAACGAAAGGAAAACTGGCTTCCATTTCTGAATGTGCAAACTGACCTATCAGAAAACGGCTACATTACGAAATGGTATCGAAAGACAAGTAGTAGAAACAACGCGTTTCATTACCTATCCTCTCACCACTCTCCCACGAAGGCGCTTGTAAGAAACATGTTTCGAACGGCGACCAACGTGTGCACGGGAAGAGAGCAGAGAGAGGAGTCTCGGAACTTGCGGCGGCAAATAACCATTTCTAATGGCTACGAAACTGTAGCTCGGGATAGATGTAGGGGAAATTCTAGGCCTCCAAACGACAACTCTAGCAATAAAGAGGTCCTGTTGGTCCTAGCCTCCATCTCAAATGATGTTAGTGCAGTTATAAAACACTGCTTAAGAAGGATGGCTAGAGAATTCGGTAAGCGCAGTTTAAATGCCACCGATTAATCTTAGGCGCCAGCTAGTTCGTAACCGCCTATATGACCGTCTATGTGCAACGCAGAATTGGATAATTTGCTCTAATGGTAGAGAGAGTGATTGCATGAGCTTGGGTACAGTTTATTTGATCTCCCGTAAGGCGTAGACGAATACATTGGAGAAACGGGCAGACTCCTGTGTCTGCAAAAAAGAACCTCTAGTCGGCAAACGTAAACCAAATATCCCACTAGGCACGCATAGGACCCAGAGACATAACTGGAAAACTTTGAAGTACGTGTCACGATCCTCGCACAGGAATCGAGAACATGAGCGCGCAAAACTCGGGGCATTCTGGATTAATTCCAGAAATCCGAAAATGAACGGCAGGGAATGATGCCTCATTATCACACGTGATATTGGGCAGTATATGAGCCCGTTATTCTGATGAGATGGGCACATTACTACTCCATATGAAGTCTTTGGGGTTGGTCTCTACGTGACACATTTAGTGGTAGCATCATAGAAAGCGGTAAGTGTACCAAGCTGTCTTTAATGTGATTGAAATCTTGGTTTAGCGTTTTCTTCGTTTGGTTATGAAGGTGTTTGGCCGAATAGATTGCTGTCCACTTGACCTTTCCAGGCTCTGAGGAAGGCGAAATCGCTTATTCGTGAATAAAAAATAAAGATAACACCTCGCGTTTGCTCAATAAGAATGCAAAGAATTACTTGATCAATGCAGCGGTTAATAGAAAGTCGGCCGTGGGAGTTGACCAAAGCACTCATGTGTTTGCTGTTCAAATTTTTTTAGGAGGATTCAATTGAAAATCGCTCCTTCGGACTGTGCATAACCATCCATTTTACACTAGTTTTTCTTCGTCAAATATAACACTTCTATGTAATATAGATGAAGATATGCAAAATTTTTAAATTGTTCATTCAAGGCCTGTATGCAGCTTGTTTTTAGAACAGTGGAAGAATTTTGTCCTCGTGCCATTTACACGTCCGGAAAAGCTTCTTCAGCTGCGGGATTGACTGCTGCTGTAGTAAAGGTATCGGAATAGACATACATTTCGCTTGTTAATATGAGAATTTTTGTTTTCTTCTTCTGCATATTTGCATAATCTTTATGCGTGCGTGTTCAACATCCAACTTGCATCTCCTTTCTCATCTTTAAAACTTGTTTTCCAAATTTCTCTGCAGTGTCTTGCACATGCCTGAGCTTACCATTTATGTCCATGTGTTCATGTTTCTATCATAATTTATATGGGTAAATTTTGAGACGGAGCATATTTAGTTTTAAATTCGATATAAGAAGACGGATTGCTGTAGATTAAAGATGTCTTTGTAGTTTTGACCTCTTAGGATGAAGATTCCTTCGAATTCGTAATTGAAGCTGGTGCACTCATGTTAGCCGATAATGGAGTTTGCTGCATTGATGAATTCGATAAAATGGATCCAAAGGATCAAGTTGCTATCCATGAGGCCATGGAACAGCAAACGATCAGCATTACAAAGGTGGATATTCCTGTCCAGTTTTTTCTTCCTTTCTTTTTTGTAGTTCATTCCTCTTCACACCCACTCATACCGCAGTATTTTACGAAGATAAGTCCCAATTTTAGGCTGGAGTCAAAGCGACTTTAAATGCACGTGCTTCCATCTTAGCCGCAGCGAATCCAGTTGGAGGTAGATATGACCGGTCTCGCCCTCTCAAACATAATGTGCAGCTGTCGGCTCCCATAATGAGCAGATTTGATCTGTTCTTTGTGCTTGTTGACGAATGTAACGAGGCAGGTTTTCTCTTTGATAAGCATTTGAAGCCATTCACATTGTACGTGTGTACATTCTTTTGACGTGATGTTTACACTTTTAATTTTCACTTCTGTGGCCTGTTAAATGTTCAGTTTCAGGTCGTTGACTATGCTATTGCGCGCAAAATCATCGAAAACCATCGCGGTATTTCTAACCGTAGTCTTCGCGAAACGAAGTATTCCATCGAAGACGTACAGAAGTACATTACCTTCGCCAAATGCTTCAAACCACAGGTGATAAATATGTTTACAATTTCTTCCTGAATTTTTCATATTTGTCTGAAAATGCATTTGCAGATCAGTAAAGAAGCAGCTGATGCACTCGTTTCGGAATATAAACGTCTTCGCATGAGTGATAGCAGCAATGCAGCCACATCTTCATGGCGAATTACAGTGCGACAGCTGGAATCCCTTATCCGTCTATCTGAAGCATTGGCTCGTCTTCATTGTGCCGCGCAGGTTTTTACCTTGTTTCTATAGCTTTGTACAGAGACAACATTTTGATTGACCGTCCTATCATGATTGAAGAGGTGGAAGTTACTGGGTGCAGGAATGTGACATGCATTAGAAATTCGGATACGCTAACTGGGTTTCCAAGCCTGCGAAATATCCAGTATTATCATTCAGAAGGCAGCTAAGAGTGAATCAATACCAGGAATCACTGCCATCTTGCTAACAATATTCCGTATGACCAAGTGGTAAAAAGGTGGAAAGGAACCTCCATATTGTCCTCCAAATGAAAGTTATGCTGAGATTCGCACGGCCTTTCGTGATTCATAGCGATGGGCCGTCGAAATATTTAATTGTAAGTAATTATTATTTACTTGGATACTTGGATGCCCCATCTTCACTGGTTGTGCAGGCTCCAGCATAATTTCTATCGGAGTTTTGCTGGCTTAGTTATTGTCGCTCCCTGGAATCCCGAGGTCAGCCCAGCCATAGTTTTGTCACAGGTCGCCACTACTACAGGGAGTAGCCGCTTTTGCGTATCAGGGATTTGCCACCATGCAACTAGCTTGATACCAGAACTGCGGTGGATCGTGGTATTGGTTTACTCTTAGCTAGGCTTCCTGATGGAAACGCCGGACTCCTTCTCAGCTTGAGAGACGAATCTTCCCGCTGTACCTCGTAACCCGGCACTCACGAACACCTCTCAGCTACGATGAGGCGGTAAACCGTTGGGAGGTTTAGTTATTAGTTCTTGTATATCTCAGGTTAATGTCGGTCATGTCAATCAAGCTTCGAAGTTGCTGAATAAGTCAATAATAAGGTGGGAAGTGACACTTTTATACTATACAGTGACTGAAGTTCTGGAGGACGATTGAAGTGTTCTTTAGCTGTTTTTCTTCAGAGTTGAACAACCGGATATCGCTCTTGATGACGATTTTGATTCCGAAGTGCTTCATGTGAACGAAGATAAGGAGAATGAAAGCGAGTCTATGGAGGTGGATGATGCTAATATAAAACGATCAAAGGTAAGAAAACATGTTCGTTTCGTGTACACAGTAAGTGCTTACATTACTGTCTTCTTCTTCTTAAGGTAGATCAGTCCTCAATGAAGATTACTTTTGAAAAATATAAGCATCTGGCAGATATGCTGGTTTTGCATATGCGCTCGGATGAGGAGACTATGAGCGAGGAAGATTATGAGGGAGTTAGACAGGACTCTCTCATTGAGTGGTGCGTTTGTTGTTTCTGGTTACTATAAAATTCGTGGGGTTTGCGGTTGTTATTGACAGCGAGAGTGTCAGTTTCTACCGTGCTTTAAGAAGTTTATTCTAACCCCTATACTAAATTAACGCTACCGTACAGGTGCTCGGTCGAGAAATGTGAACGACCTGGTGTTTACGGAGCGCATATTCATTCTCTTCAGACGTTGTCGTTGAATTTCCGAGAATTTTATTTCTAGGTACTTGGAAATGATTGAAGGTGAATTGGAGACGGAGGAAGATCTGCTAACTCAACGCACCATCTGCTACCGAGTGATTCGCCGACTGGTTACGGAAGACCACGTTTTGATTGAGATGGATTCGGATGATAAAAATCCTTTGTTATGCGTACATCCAAATTATGTTGTCACTGACCAATAGTAGACTTCAATTGAATGTTGGAGATGTCTACTCAATCTCACTGCTTCTGTTTTTTCTACGATGTTGAGGTACTTGTTCACAGGAAATTATCGAGGAAATTTGCAACAGCGAAGACCTTGATTTATTTCATGCACATTGGTAGTAATCTAAGTAAATATGCTTCCATGGAATTGTTGTCTAATCCCTTTACGTTTCCTATAGTTTTTTGGATTTTGCGAAAACAAATGTAGCTTTCCAAGCAAGGAAATAAAATGTGTTAATAGGAGGGGACTTCTCTTTGACACCGACATTGATCAATAAGTTAGTGGCCCACTGTTTCTTTAATCAGTAGAGACGGGATTGTTATTACACTATTTATTCAGGATAGTTAAAATTATGCCTTAGAATCTAGAAAGGCCAAATTGACACCAGTCAAACACCTAAGGTAATTAAGCAGAAGAAACTTTATATCTAAATTTCATGCGTATACTAAGCAACTCTGTAGACAGTCAGCGTGAGAAGGATTTCGCTATAACGAAGGGTGCTAATTCCCTAGGACCGACTTTGATTTAGCCTTAGCGTTGATCATAAGTCAAAGTTTGCTTAAGGAGTAGATATGAGGTCGTTATCACTATGTTCATTTTACAATGGCTAACGTTTCGGCGGATTTTGCCTTCTTCAGAGCCTGGAAAGGTCAAATTGACACGCATCCTTAGTTGGACACTTGCATAACCTCTCTTGACAATGGTGTCATTACTATGTGGTGTCGAAAGCCAATTAACAAAAATACACTGGTTTATTGCCTCTCTCACCCTTCGCATGCCAAAAAGAGCTTTTGGAAAACATGTTTTAAACAGCTACAATATATGCACAGGTAGAGAGCAAAAGGAAGAATCCTTGAAAGTGGAGCGGCAAATAGCCTTTAGATAACTACGAAACTGTAGCTACTCGGAAAAGTCGTAGTGCAAAACCATGCCCCTAAACGAAGCGAGAATAAGGTCCCGTTTATCCTGCCTGTGATCTCCAATGAAATAAGCGGAGCTGTAAAACGTTGCTTAAGAAGGCTACGGTCTGAAGGATTCGAAAACAACGATTGAAGTACCACCGGACACTCTCAGGCGTCATCTTAAGCGCCGGTATAAACATCTATGTAAAACACAAAATTGAATAATCTGCACCAATGTTAAAGCAGTGTGTGCAGTATAGTGGTTAGAGGTGACCTGCAATACACATGCACTCGGTCCTCCGTTTTAGGCTCACCAAACCCTCCATCCGTCCGCGCCCGGCAAATCGGTACCAGACCTGCTTGGAAGGATAAACAGCGCTGAGTTGATAGATCGACAGGCCACCGCAAGTCTTTCTATAGGCCAGATATCCACTTAGTCACCTCTAACGATGCTGGATGAAGTCAAATTCATGGCGCACTCTTAAAAGATTGATCAACGCCGAGAGCTTTACCCTTCTCTTTTAACGGTGCAGACGGTGATCTATGGAGCACTTATTTTATCTGACCTTTTGTAAAGCGTGCAAAGAGCCGGCAGCGAGTGGACTCCTCGGGATATCAAACGCACAGGGAAAGACCATCAACCCAATAATCACAGCTCTTCACGAAAATCACTGAAGAAAGATATGATACTCAACGATTCTCTAGAGCGAGTAGAACCCACTGGGTTACTGGGCTGCTCTTGCACGTAACAGGGAGAAGTGGCAGATTTACTAGCATTCACACGAGTCACTCGACGATCAACAAAACGATACGTGATACAAATTCCTTCCATGAAAAAAGATTCAGTAAGTAGAAAGTTAAGGAATTGTTTCCAGACTTCCAGCACGGCTTAGGAGAGCTCATTCTGAAGATGAATAACCTTTGTGCATGCAAACTGAACGAGAGAGAACATCATCCAGCACTGTTTAAGCGTGGAATAATGAACAAATGGAGAAGTACTACCTCGATTATCAATATCAAGTTATGTACCGAAAATAATTGGTTTTTCCCAATGCTGCGAGTCCAAATCCTTAACATAACTTTAAGACCAGAATGTTATATTTTTATTTGCACACACCCAGCGGTTTACCGGCTCTTCGTGGCTGGGACGTATATCTATGTGTTGGGCTGCGATGTACAGCGGGGATTCTTCCCCCTAGTAGGATCTCTCAAGCTGAAAAGAAGTCCAGCGTTTGCATCAGGAAGCCCAGCTATGTGTAAAGCAACACCAGGACCCACCACCATCCCGACATTAAACCATGGTGGCAAATCTTCCTCTGATCCATAAGGGCGGCGACTGCCTGTATTGATGACGACCTCGTGCAGACTTTGGCCTGGCTGACCTCGGGGCGCCAGAGAACCACGATGGCTAAATCAGCAAAGCTCCGAAAAAAAATTGTGATTTTGATGGAGCCCACACAGCCAGTGACGGCGGGCCATCCAAGTATCCAAGTAAGTTTATTTTCACAAATAGGACATTCGTGATAGTACAGAGGTTTTTTTGAGAACTGTTTAGAAGGTCACCGGCATAATGTGGGAAACTACGTTTTCACGTTTAGAATAAGTTATTTAGATGATCCCTTCTTCCTACGTAATGTTGCGTCGTAGAAACTGAAATAAAGAATGGGCACTGCGTAGATGGAAACAAAGACTGTTCTCGATATGCCAATCAAAACTCGCAGGTGCTTTGAACCAAACAAATGGGCTCATTTACAAAGACTAAACTGTGCGATGAATAACAAGAAATTGAACGAAGCTCTTGTTCCTTACACCATGTAACTAGCTCGATATCTTATAACTTAAGCAGAAGTGTCATAGTGCACTTTGCTAGCACAAAGAAGAAAGGATAGATTCCCATGGTCGACTTTCTGTTAAGCTAGCAGTTGATCGAAAAGGTTTTTGATAAGCAGATGCAAAGTTGTTAAGGCAACGTTTATTCCACAATGACTAACGTTTCGGGAGATCTCTGTCTTCTTCGCATTGGTGTGCAGTCTATTCAGGAAAGTATCTTCGATTATTCCTTCTTAGCTGGAAAACTTGAAGTTAAACAAGGTATTCCACGAGGCACATATTGGAGAGCGTAGTGGAGACCCTAAAACATCATCGTGAAAAATTCTTGAAGCGTTTTGGATAAATTTTGAAGATCTAAATGTGAACGGCTGAGAAGAGTGCCCTACATTCTCGCGTGGCCTTGCCCCACATCTTAGGCTGATTTTTTGACCTGTGACAGGCAAATAACCCACCCATGTAAACTCTATAAGACTAACCTCCATCAATTAGTGAATGACTTATAGAGAAAAACGGCTGCTGTTTCGAAGCAGCTGTTTCCCATGTAATTGAGATTTAGGATTTCAGTTTCTTCCGTTGGGGTTATAAAAGTGTAGGACAGCGTTAACTGCATATCAATGTGAACATCAAAAAGCCGTGAAGATGGCGACATCTCTCAAGACGTTAAATACCGTCGAATAAATATTGTTTTAGCAACCTTGTATGTGCTCATTAAAAAAACGGAAAGGAAAGAGCATAAGGGAGCACCAAGGAATCGTCACATGCAGGCCTCGCAGAATCAACACCTTTGTCTTCGCTCTGATATTTAGATTGTTTAAACGAAGAGGGCTAGCTGAACAATGTTTGTGACAAGTGAAAACAATACCTCCAAAATTCACGATATGGGTAAATGATGTAGACAATGGCTCAAATTTCTGCAACAACCTGGTGAGTGACAAGACGGCTGACTAGTTGTTCTCAGTTCCACTACGATCCGACACAATACAGGACCTGCCACCGATTTGTCGACCGCAAATGATAGAGGAATCTGCTGGTTCACCGATGGCGGACGACTGTTAGAAGACAGGCAACTTATTGCAGCTTTCTGTTCCCTTTTTATTTTAGCTTCAGTCTAATGGCTTTAACTGCAATTAATTTTGCGGTTCGTCATGAATTTGATAGGCTCAATGATGTTTTGCCGTATGTGGCCCGTGCAGGTACCACGTTGTTAGTGTATTAAACACTTTAGATCATTGAAATCGATGGATTATGAAGCCGATAATCAGTTTCTTAGTCCGAGAAAATCATTCTTGCACATTTTCCATTCACTATTATGTGATGAAGAGGTGTCTTCCATAACGCGCACGAATGTGACGATCGGGTGAAAACTCAAACGTCCCACTTGTAAGTGTTCATGTCTTCTGGTCGGGCATTCTTCGCCGGCAGTACAACCAGCATATTCAGTGGAGTGCAGCCGAAGGATGTGAACAACTAGTGGGTGAATGACTGTCTTCCAAACTGTGTTGGTTGAAATGTGTCGTAAAGAATTTCGTCGTGTTAACACACTTTTGAGAAGACTAACAAGCACCATTCGAAAACCTCCGAACGTGGTATCGAGAAGGTTTGCAATTTGAATCGTTCTCAGGCCAACTTTAATGTGTTATAAGCCACATATCTTACATAGTCTATTCGGAAGCCGTTTACGATGGGAAATATTGTTCAGTTAGAATATTTGCATTTTAGGCAACCTTTTCATCACACCCCACACTTCTACCATCATAGGTTTGTTTTGAAGATCGAAGACAAAGATGTTTTAAAACTGAGTGAGGTAATCACGCTTTGTGCTATTGGAGACAAATATTTAGCCGTGTAGAACTTAGTTGTTTCATGTGCTTCGAGGTGCCGTGGCGACAGTACTGAAGATGATCATTTCCAGCACTGCCGCCGAAATCGCTTTCAAGGTATGCGTCTCGAATTCAACGGTGATTGAGCGTATGAAACTGTTTTTTGCTCAGCAACCTCTAAACGGTTCGTTACGCTCTCCCAGTAGGTGGTATAGGTAACGAAATAGACAGAACTCGGAATAATGGATTACTGTAACGTTCAAGCGATTAAGTCTGCCTGTGTGACATTTCAACAACATATTCAAGTAACTGCTAAGCATCTCAGTCCAGGTGTGCCATAGCAGATGGAAGAGGCAGCATTTCGCGGGTAGATTTAGTTGACCATATGTCATTAGAGATAATCCCTCATTGGTAATAACTCATAGAATGAGATCTAAACACGAGAGGGCCGAGTGACGAAAGACCTGCCGCCACACCTCCTGAGCAACGCAAACACTAGATAACAGCTGGAGTTGGTGCCTAGGTCGCGTAGAAAATGCCACCAACGGCTGCGGCTACGGTAGCAACACTAAGCATCGCCTACAAATTCAACTTAACCTAAGCGTTTTTGTTGTGACAATCATCACCACTGAGACCATTATGCCGAACGAACGAGATTTTGGTATGATATTACTCTAAGCTTGTTACTACTGCTTCGGTGTTAGAAAACTGTATGTATTGAAGAGAGTTCCATTTTAAATTTTGTGTTTACATTCCTGTGATGTTTTCAAAATTCGCTCAAAGCCACTTGGACACTTGGACGGCCCGTTCTCACTGGTTGTGCGTCCTTGAGTATATTCTCCATTTTTCGGAGTTTTGCCGGTTTAGCCATTGTGGCTCCCTGGAATCCCGAGCTCTACCTGGCCATGGTCTGATCCAGGTCGTCACTACTACAGGTAGTCACCGCTTTTGCGTATCAGAGATTTGCCACCATGCAACTAGCTTGATACCAGAACTGCGGTGGATCTTGGTATTGGTTTACTCTTAGCTAGACTTCCTAATGGAAACGCCGGACTCGTCCTCAGCCTGGGAGATCTTGCCGGGGGATGAATCCCCTCGCTGTACATCGCACTCCGACACCCAGAAACGCCTCCCAGCCACGATGAGGCGGTAAACAGTTGGGATGCGTACGAAACCATCAATGGTGAATTTTGTATCAATTAGGTCGTTACACTAATCTAGGAAATGTTCGATGGGAACCGAATGCACGAGTATTTTGCAGTGAAATAGGCTGCTGGCAACATCGACCTTATATGCTAATAATAAACATAGTCACATAACGAATTTTCATGAACCTAAATGATATTTTAATAAAATTTGTAACTGTTCAACCCATCTGTGTTTAACTAAAGCTAAAGACCTTGGCTGAACTACACCATTGAGATACAGGACTAATTTTGAGAAAGCAAAACATATTAGTCGTTACAGCAAAATTTTTGCCCACTTTCATGGCCGACGCCTTTACAGATCAGAGAAGGTGTTCCATTGTGCCGAACGATGACGTCCACTCGGCGACTCATCCGCTAGCTGGATTTTCTCATAATCCGAATACATTCAGTGTTCACATCGAGAATCCAGTTGTTATAAAGTGGTTTGTAGCAAATCTTAGAGGTTAGTGCTCGTAGAGCGGAAACCCCGTCACGAGGCGGCCTTCTCTGATACATTTGTTAGGCAGATCATCTGTATATGTGACAAGGTGGTAACACAATGGTATGGCTGTATTAAGAGTACAAGAGGAAAACTCTCTTTGCTAAGAGATAGCCATGGAAATCGCTACTCGCTTAGTGAAAACGGAGCCAAGTATCAAGCAGATAGCTTCACCAAATTTCCCTTTGTTTCCGTCTATTATTGAACGAGTTGCTTTATGCACTACACTTACTTGTTTATCTTATTAATGCAATTTTTGGTTCTTTTTTTGACGAACGTGCCACTATATTTATCGTTCAATGGTGTTGACTTTAAAGGCATTTGATAAGACGCGTGAGCACCCGAACAGATGTGTTCTGCCGCTTTGAACCGGATGCGGGGTGTTCGAACCTAGTTGGCTACAACTGGCTGTTGATGCTGAACCCGATCTGGAACTGGTACGGATTGTAGGCGACTTCCCGCTGGATGCTTCCACCGTCTCGCGCCTGTTCCACACCGGCGCCATGTTGACACGTGGAATTCAGCTGCTTCCGTAAGTCGGCAATCATCTGAAACAGACAACTGATCGTCCACTTCCTCCAATGGGCTTTAAGTTTAAGCGACTTTCGCAACATGTTATGGCGTTCAGCTCTAATCAACAAGCTTAGTGAAGAATTCCAAGCTGTATGAGATTCGACGGCATATGATAACGAATAGTACCCTCAGTAGAAACTGGTTGACTTCATTTGTCACAGTCCCATCTGGTTGGAAAGGAAAGTTTTCCGGAAAAAATCTAGCTATGCTCTTATGGGCGATATGTTGGACACAAGAATTGAAACTAGAGGCGAATGCTGCTTCTCACCACTATGAATTTACCGTATTCGCTGCTCGAGCTGGTTTTTCGACTACTACTAGCGATTTCCTTATCACAGGAGTAGTTCGCAAATGGAAGTGCAAGTCCCGAAAATATAAACGATAGGGAAACGATAATGAAAGCTAATGTGTCTCGTTTGACGAGAGCCCGTTCGCCCCACCGTGATAGTTTTCGATGTGCAAACCTCGACGAAAAAATGTGATGAATAGATTTTAAAGGCAATAGGAAATCATAATTTTATCTGTACAAGTTAAGCAAACTTGATCGTAGATGGCAAAGACTTAAATTTTATCGGTTTTCATCTAAACTAATAAAATTAGCTATGAGCTCGGACATGTTGGTTCAACGTTGAAAGCTTCCATTCTTTCGGCATGGCATGAGTCACATACAATTCATGTGGTCCCGAAAATGTTAATAATGGAAGATATAGGTAAATAATGCAAAAGGAAGACAAACAGACAATAAGAAACTGAAGAGTTTTACTATGTGGCTAACTGGGTTTGTAAAACGACCAATCAGTGGATACTCACCTCTCTTAGCTGGACGATTTCATTCTTGAGATTCTCGTTCTCCACCCGTAGCAACTCGGCCGTCTTCGTAATCGACTCCTCTCGTTGTCTCCTTCAACAACTTGCCACTATACCTATTCTATTCAGCATTCAAATTTTTTAGTGACAATCTTCAATATTAACAACATTTTCTATTCTATCTGTAACGGTCTTATCTCTCTATAGAGGAAGAGTTCTACACTTTCAACTAATATTGTAGTGAAATGCGTTCTTGTTTTTGCTTCAATTTTAAGTAAGCTGGTGCATTTACCAATGATCTGCAATGGGATCTTATGGTATGTGCGGTATCTTCTATCCATGTATAATTGCAAGAGGACATCAGCAAATTAACGGTTGACCGACTCCGTAATGATAAAGGGTTTCGTTGGTAGTTGTGAGATGGAACTAGGGCCCATGAGCCCCCTTTGGCACTGTATCACAATGAATCGCAATCGCATTATTTTATTGCATGCGTCTTATTCAATCATTTCCCGACTAATGGCACAAATTTTTCAGGGAGAACAAGTCAAAAGTAGGAAAGACACGTTTTAAGTGCAAAACTTAGATTATCTCTACACTGACATATTAGTTTAAAGGTATAACAGGAGTAATATTGTTTCACTGCCTTTCTATACCAACATTTTTGGAAGTTTTCTTACAGATTCAGTCGCTATTTGCTGATCGATTTACCAAAACTATTGCCTTAACGTATGTCAACTGAAGTAATATGATGTTATGGAAGCGGCCCATCCTAATTCCACATATTTCGACTGCTTGTTGACTATTTAATGTCATTCACTCTGTGCCATTTCTTGGTGACTTGGACGGCCCGTCCTCACTAGTTGTTCGATCTCCAGCATAATCTATGCTTTTCGGAGTTTTGCTGGTTTAGCTATTGTTTCCCTGTAGTCCTGAGGTCAGCCTTCTAGCCAAAGTCTGCCCCAGAGCGTCACCACCACAAAGCAGTCGCAGCCGTTGTGGATCGGAGGGGGATTTGCCATCATCGGACTAATTTGTTACCAGGTTAGTGGCAGATCTTGGTGTTGGTATTGATTTACTCTTAGCTAGGCTTCCTGATGAAAAAGCCGGGCTCCTTCTCAGTTTGGGAGGCCCTGCCGTGTGGGCGAATCCTCCCGCTTTACATCGCAGCTCGACACCCAGTACCACATGCCAGCCACGATGGAGCGGTAAACCATTGGAAGGACTTGCCATTTCGTGCTGAACAAATGTGAATTTTAAAAAGAATTTGAAGTCTTGAAATTGAGTTGAAAAGAAGGTTGAAAATTCCGGATTGTTTTCGCTCCCTCATCAACCTGACTATTTACAAAGTCTATTGTTCGTTTTCGTTCCGGGGCCATAATCGCGCAAAAACTAACGCTATCAATCAAAAACGAAAAAGGAGAAAAGAAATCAATGCTTTAGACCAAATGAATAAATAGTAAAATTCTACAAAAATTCGCGTTTCATTTGCAAATTGGATCAACGAAGATCTAGTCAATAACATACAATCCACGTTGAAGTGAATTCCTTGGATCGATCTAACTTACCGAATGGCATAACCGAAATTTTCAAGAAATCCCTCATGACAAAAATTTTACATTTACAACTTTGTGTAGAAAAACATGAGTATATATATATTATTCAGTATACGCTGTATACATGCTAGTGTGCATATCAACGGAAGCTCATTGCCACCGCTGTCGAGAGGAATTTCTCATTTCCTTCCGAAACTCAGTAAAGCCAAACTAATAGCGAAGCAATGCTAGGGGAGCTACTTGAGGCCACCATGCAGCCGAAAACAGCAAAGAAGTAAAGTCCTATACAAATAGTGGGCTTTTCGTGTCTGATGATTGAGCAAGGCGACCTCGCTAAGGCAACTCGTCAAATGACGTGATTACAGTTGGTCATTTACCCCACTTCCATTCACCAAGTGTAGGAAAAAAGTGTCATAGAGTACAGTCAGTTCATTGATAAGAATTCACCTGATCTTTCTGGATTTTTGTGCGGCTAAGTTGTTTTTGTGACGCTTGGCTAGATACCTGCAAACGATAAGATTTGGCCGTGACGGGGACAAGTCCCTGCTCTCCTCTCACTCTGCTCTCCCTCATCGCAATTGGTTTCATTTCAAAACCGCCCTATTTTATTTCCCTTAATTACAACTATACATAAAAATTGAATGTTTTACGTCTCCCCGGCACAATCCTCTCAACATTCTGCCTTGCTCACTGAACGTACCCAAGCGATGTCGTGGAGAAGGAAAAGCCTAACCTACCGTCAGATTACTGAAAATCTAAACATATACATAAATATTCCAATAAATGAACAAATGAATTCTCTACGGCGTTGTGTGAATTTTTCTCACGGACAATGGATCTTTTTTCTTTTCTTCAGGAGTAGAATCGGATTCAGATTTGTTGTAGGAGGCCTCTTGATAGTACGAAGGAGGGATAGACGATACTGGAGTGCCATAGGACGTCAACGAATGACTAAAGTAGTTTTTTTAATCCTTTTTAAAAATGCGCGCTAAATCTAGGAGCTAATACGTGCTTATCTTTCATTAGTACGCCTTAACAGCGCGACTACAATAAGAAAAAGTGGAAGACACAACAAAGACTTCTTCACTGATTTCAGGAGTTCCTGATGAGATTTTGCACCTATCTGTGATAATATGACTACTCAAAGACCACCTTTCTTAGGCATTGTCAGTTCGCTGGGAGCAAGCATTCACAGGAACAGATTCGCATAAAGGGCTACATTTTCTTAAAACTCATAAATTTCTTCTAATGAAACGCAGTTCAGACCTTCCTAAATTTCTGTTGTTTTTTTCCGAATTACCAGCTAGAGTGGATGGATTTGGGAAGAGAAAGGAGTTAAGATAAATTAAACCATAAAAGATTAATCAATACATAAACCCACTTATAGCCGTACGGCGTGTAGGCGAAAGTATGAGGATCGAAGGCGGCAGCAGTTTGTGCAAAGGCTGGCAGCATAATTACGGTAAGATTACAGTATGACGCAAGCGTCCGTGAGGATTGCGCAACGTCGAGTGAGACAAGCCAATGGCAAAATGCGCGAGGTCAGACGAGGACACATCCTCGAGAGAGAGTCCATCCTAGACGACTGGGGTGAAGTGGAAGAACGAGCAACATGGGGAGAGCCCAGAACAGATTCTGATGGGAGGTCAGGGCGGAATTGCCCGACCCCGGGCTAGCCACGCCCGCCCACTGGATACATTTCCGACAGGAGAAGGTGTTGAAGTGGTCACTTGAGGTGCTAGTAGGACTATGAGCAAACACTCCAATCTCCACACATGGGAACTTGTATTTTCCATAAATATTCAATGTGTTAAACTATACGTTGTTGCCGCCTTGGTTTCACCTTGGCGATTTCTTGAAAGGAACGGTCTTTAGACTTCATTACGTAAATGGAAAAAACGGAAGCAGTTCGTCCCAGAGTCGACGGTTTGCATTTCCAAAACCTTAGCTTGACTACGGCTCGAATTAGCAAGCGTTCTGTCCCGCATAGGTGGAAAAAGTGGCATCGGACATCTCTTTGAACAGCTTCCTCTGATTCACAGAGGGGTGCCGTTTACCCTTAATGAGTACCTAAAGACCTCCTTAAAACGACCTTCTTAGGCAGAATCGGCTCCCCAACCATTCAGCTTAATTCTTGAAGAAAGTTAAAATTCCTTATACAAACAGAAGTCACGTGAAAATCTGAAGACCTTCGTGGACAGCGGGTGTGAGAAACCGCTCGTATCCGTAAAATTCGAGCTGCATGACATTTTAAAAAAAATGGAAAATTGGTATGAAAATAGGATAGAATGATTATGATATTGACGAAGAGTACAGTTATTATTGGTCTTCTTGAACCTAACGGGAGAGCACGGGAGTCGCTTAAAGTTACACTTTCTAAAACCTTTTTCTTTTTTCAAAAGCCGTACAAATTTACTATTCGGAGATCACTTTTGAGCGAACTAAACGTCTCATGGGTGATACTCATTGTTATTATAGTTAATGTTACTGCGAATTCGTGTGGCAGAGTTTTCCTGAAAGACGCAAGCGACCATTTGTTAAATCCAGTGCCTTGGAGAAGCTGCATCGATTGCAAACTGGTGCCAGAATTGCATGAGAAGACAAAAACACTGGCATCGTACTTCCTCCGTAGGCCTCCTCCGATTTTCGTATATGTTAAAGATGCATTCAATCACCTCTACGTTGACTTATGGAGTCGAATACATTGTGCACAATTAAGTGTTGATCAATGGCAGGTACTTTACCCTTTTTCTGAAATCGACCTAAATTTAACCCCTGGTATAAATAGCCAATATCATCTTGGTTTAGTAAAGTAACACAAAATCGGTAAGAAGTTTTATTCAACTAACGACTCAATATCGTCGCCTTCTTTAGAGTCGTGTAGATTCGAGTCGTTTGGAGCGAGATTCTTCATTCGAGCGGTACTCCATATCACTAGATTCGACTCGACGTGACAACGAAGACTCATTATGTATTCTTTCTTGATAAGCTTACACGAGGTTGATAAATATATTTATTTTCGGCTAACGTTTCGACGTCTTCGTCTTCCTCAGAGCCGGTGATCCGAGTCGATGGTCCATGCTTGTTGTTCGCCTCGACGTTGCGTCTTCGTCTTCGTATCGAGCCAGATCTTCCTCAGTGAGCCATCTCGAAGTTTCGAGAGGAACTGGCTCGATACGAAGACGAAGACGCAACGTCGAGGCGAACAACAAGCATGGACCATCGACTCGGATCACCGGCTCTGAGGAAGACGAAGACGTCGAAACGTTAGCCGAAAATAAATATATTTATCAACCTCGTGTAAGCTTATCAAGAAAGAATACATATTGATTAATCACACCGAGGTTTAGGGAAGGTCGGTTTCGAAAAAAACGAAGACTCATGTTGAGAGGAAAGTTGTGGACCATCGACTCGGATCAGAGCTGCCCAAGGAAGACGAGGGCCTCGATACGTTGGGCGAATAGAAGCTTTACCCATTATTGTTACTAATTTCGCTTTAATGCGAGAAAGTAGGAGATTTTTGAAACCGGTAAAAGTGGGAGTTAATATTTTTAAGCAATCAAGCCTATATCGAGCCTAAATAGAGTGGCTTGTATACATCCCAAAAAATGTGAGGAGACTGTCTGCAAACTTATAATCCTCGTCGATTCATGAACATCCTGGATGGCCTGTCCTAAGTAATGGCAAAGGGAGTAGTTTGAGTTTACCACTTTATCGTCTTCCAGTGTTTCATTAGGAAATCCAGTGGACATGCAATGAACACCATTTTTACAAATCCAAAATTTATTCTCATCCTTATAGAGCAGTGAAGGTCATAAATATTGTTGGTGACGGAAAACAAATTGCATTATTCCTTGGTGCCTTAAACCTTAATCAGTGAACGGAGTCTGAGCAAATCTACAAGCCGTCTTGCGTATTAGTTTAACACAATTCTTGTTTTAAATACGAGGCAGTGTAAAGGGGTACCGTAGAATTTCGGCTCTCATGCAGATATGTCGAAAAGCCTTACCCTCTAACATAGCCCTATTCTTCACGGTATTCATTCACATGACTGAAAAACAGAAACTAGAAAACAGTGGTGAAACGGCTACAACATGGCTACAAATTATGTGAGTGGAATGAGCAGCTGATGTTTTGGAATGGAACGACGTTCTCCACTTCCGAAATCATTCGCCCGCTCAACTCGTCTTGAAGGCTGTACAGTACCTGAAACAGTCGCTCCTCATCGGTAACAGTTATCAGTGTTCATCCAACTACAGTCTATTCTTCTCTTTCCAGACCTCTTAAAGTTGGAATATCTTGGTTTATTTGATGGGAAGATATTTTCACTAATTCTAATGAAGAAAACTCACCACCTATGACACCTGAAAGGAAGGAAATTGTAGAGGAATCGATTACCGCCTCATTCAAGCACAGTGGGAAGTATTTGTGTAAAAGCTAAGAAAATACAGGTGCTGGTAAGGAACTCTCGAATTGATAAAAAATGCCACAGTCCATGCCGCTTTTCACTGATTAAGCTATCTATTCTGCTTTTTTGAATGAATGCGACTATGAAGACCCAAACCACAAGAATAAACAGCTCCAGACAATAGATTCGAATTTTGCGACTCTAAAGAACCGCACTGGCTCGTTACATCGGTAGGCCCCCGCGAGTCATTGTAAAGGCCAGATATGCATCCATTCATAAACCGAATGGGCTGTCAACCGAATGCCTGCCTGTGGGCTGTCAACCGAATGCCAAGAAGACCAGCGTAAGTGACCTTTTTCAGCTCATCCACTTCATCTTTGAGTGACTGGTTCTCCTTCTGCAGCAGTTCAGCTTCCTTGACGGCCTGAGTCTCGCGTGCTTTTCTCCTCAGCCGGGATGTTCGCGCAGCCTCGTTGTTTCGGTCGCGTTTCTCACGTTTTCTGAATTATCATTGATTAATCAGAAAGAAATCAATGTTGACCGTTTGTAATACTATTATAACCACCTGAAAGTAGATGAAAGAATCGATCTGGCTCATATTTTATCGCTCGAATAAGTACTTAGTGAGATCACTTTGTAAGTTAAAACTTTGCTAAGAACAAGAAAAATCTCTTATCGAATGGTATTAGCTAAAACTTTTAATTACTACTTGCTTAACACGTGTAGTTCCTACACGTTAGGCTTCTAACTCCTTCTGTTCTTTAATAATTTCAACGTACTTCCGACTAAATTGAGCTTTTCGCCCAATGACTAATGTTCGGTATCAGAACGGACGTGTTTCTTAATTCTGAATAATAGGAAACCTTCTGTATGCTTCATCAGATGATATGTCAGACTCGGACTTGCTACAAGATGGAGTCGACGGCTTCACATAGACGGCATCCTGATAGTATCTGCCGATCGCTGAGCAGGTTTCAGGATTTTCAGTCCCTGAGCTTGCGTACGTGGTAGAGAACGGTACCCTATAAATGATTCATTGGTCTTATCGATGTTATATGATCGGTAATTTCAATTCACAGTCAGTAAAGAACATCCATATCGACGACCATTTACTACGTAATGAACCCTTATCTACTCTATAACCATCAGAGTCCGCCATCTACCTAAAATGTAGTGTAAAGAGTGGAGACTCACGAATATCCGTAAGGATTGTACTGGAACGGCTGCGCATCAAAAGTGCTTGGGGCGAAGACTGGTAGCATGGACGATTATGCAACAATAGACACTAGGGTGAATGAATGAATGATTTGTCAGCGAAAAGCAGACGGTCAGATGTGCTACGGACGGACCGGGCCGATTCTGTAGGTCGTTGGGATCTCCAGAGAGGCCACGCTCTCTAGCTACTCTCTGCTGTTTACGGGTACGTTGGCAAGCAAGATTAGTCGAGCCGGGTCACCTTAATGAACGCTAAGCGTCTTGAAGATACCCTCACTTACCATCAGCAGGTTACGTAATCGATTTGCTCTTTGTACCCGCAGAAATGAGGGAGAGAAAACTTAAAGAAATGAAAAGCATATTGTCCAAAGCATTGAGATGGACAGTGGTAAAGTTGTATAGTGAGAAGCTGGAACAGAACCCACTAGAAATCTAATGCATGTGCATTGATGATTCACTGCATTGATCCATTGATGATTTCCGTTCAGTGATTATGGTTTCAAGCACCAGAGAATAATACCATTTGTCACCAACAATATGTCAAAGTTGCATGGTGCCAAATCTCCCTCTGATCCACAAGGGCTGCGACCGCTTGCCTGGAGCAGATTTTGGCCAAGCTGACCTCGGGATTACAGGGAACCACAATGGCTTAACCAGCAAATTTCCGAAAAATGGAGATTATACTGAGGCCTGCACTAGTGAGGACGGTCCATTCATGTATCAAGTAAGTATTTTATGAAACATACCCGATCCTCGTCGCCATTTCAAGTTTCAAGCGATGAGATGGCCAAATTGGTCACACACATAAGCTCTGCGCAGATAGTCTCCATGAATGAGTGTAGGACTTACAACACAAAATGGTGAGCTACTGGATTACTTCTAACGGAGATTCTGAGTAGGAATGCAAATCTCTTTGTCGACAGATCGACCAATACACAGCCACCAGCAATGTTTATTCCTGCAAAGAAACCTTTCAGGTAAGGTGGGCCGAATGATTTGAGCTGACCTTTATCCGACATAATGATCTTGCAATTATAGTGACTCTGGCGCGCACTAGAGTCACTATTCAAAGACCGCGCCCCACTTACTAAGTCAATCGGTATGGCTGGCTGCATCGTTTACGAATTCCTCCTTTCGCCTTGTTCTCCTTTTACTCGTTCTGTTTATATGTTGTCATCCTTCAAAAATGTTTAGTTAGGTTTGAAATAATTACGGTTACACGTTGTCACTAGCCGCACGCAGAACACACATCTACACAACTCAATCATCCTTTGACGCGGAGCATGGGTGGCCGCGAATTGAACCTGGTTCGCTAACGTCACTGATAAGCATTCTATCACTCAACCGCCCAACCATTCTTCTCAACTTCCCGTGTTGGAGCATGAAATTTGAGCTAAAGGAGAACCACCAAGACTCCCTTCTTGAATGTTCGAGCTGCCATCATATGCATGAAGGCATGGCTCCCAATCATTTTGCAAATTTTCCTAAGAAGAAAAAGATAATCGGGATAGTGGGGATAATCTCACATGGTTGCTCTGACCAAGAATCGTTAGCGAATGGATTTTAACTACTGACAGGTCCGCTTGTTTAATGTGTTCTTCAAGCCGTATACAAAAATTGTACTTTCGTATATATCAACAACTTTAGATTAGGCACGATCGAGTGAGCAGGCACACCGAAATCCTATTGCATGGATCACATCGAAACCGTGTATAAGATCATAGAATTCTGGAGAGAACACTACCTACCTCTTATCTCTCTTTGTTGACGACAAAAAAAACGTTCGAGAACGTCGAAACGGGGCCCTTCTGTTAGCCGCTGTGGACCAAGGAGTTTGCACACCTTTTTAAGAGCTCTCACTTACTACTAACGTTACGAAATTGCAGCGTTCCCATGAGACATTCGCATACTTATAGTAAATGTGGGTTGATTAGATAATACTATCTCGGGGATGCCAATATTCCAGTTAGTAACAAAGTTGCTCGACCTGGACGATGAAGGTATTTGCACAGATGGGAAATTTCTGCCAAAACTTCATTTCGCCAAATAAATCGTCATTTTCCGGAAACTATCAATACAGCAAAAATGACGGTTATGGAGCTCAGTGAATTTGAAGAAAGGATAGTTTTGTGTGTAAACCTTAGGAAAACTAAGTCATAAAGAATTCATCGTTCCAAGTTAGAAACATTGAAGTGGATGGATTTCTGACCACTGAAACTATATCGCACGTGTACCTGGGGCGTTTCATGGACAGCGAAAACATCGAGAAAGAAAATTTATACAGAAGAACGGGCGCAGCGTGCTGATTCTCAGAAAAGGCACTGAAAAATTCAGGAACCAGAAACTCCTCGCTTGTATTTTTCACTCAGCTGTCTTCCCAGTGTTCTGATATGCAGCGGACATGTGAGTAGACACTTCAGTCGCGTCGAAAATTTCGCGCGCCACTCATGGAGCGCTTAATAAAATTTTCAGAAATACACAAAACTTCTGACCGATCTAGGAGGACCTGCTAGCGGATGAAAACAATCTGTTGGACTCCTACGACCGACTTTCTATTAACCTCGGCATTGCTTAAGTAATTCTTCGTTTTTTTGTTGAGCAAACGCGAGGTGTTATTAATAACACCTCGCGTTTGCTCAACAAAAAAATACGAAGAATAATCTGTTGGTTCCGTAATGAGCCTCATGGGCGTCTCCGTCTTAGAGGTAGACTGAGCATACCGCCAACACGGACGGTAGTTGTGCGAGAAATAACTGAACTAAAGATGTGCTAAGGCCAGCATTGCCCATGAGGATGGGTTGTCCTAATATCAAGTTAAGTATGGATTTTTGAATTCAATTTAACATAACATAACGTGGAATGGACCTCGTGGGCGTCACCATTTTCGAAGTAGACTACCACTGTGGACGACAATTGTGCGAGAGAGAAATGAATAGAAATTATGCTGGGGCCACACAACGACTGAAGACGAAGACGGGACATACAAGTATCCAGTTAAGTAAGGAATTCATAGCATCATTATACGGGCTTTTACGCGGGGCTCACTTAGAGTCATGGTGGATGCAAAGTGAAGAACCTGTCAATATCGCATTCGATTAGAGCTTATTATTTGGGAACTCTTCATTAATCAGAAGGTGTGTTGTTCATGGCTAAAACGGTACTGAAGAAGTAGTTCTCATCCAAGTGTGGTCCATGCGTTTTGTGTCCTGCAGTGTGCACAAGAGCGTAATCACGAAAAAAGCAATCTTGCTAACGCATCGAGTGCTTTCTTTCTAAGACATTGATCAGCTTGTAAAGTTGGACAGAGAAAGGTCTATGACCACTGTGATATCTGTTGACAGAAGCCTCTGGCAAAGCATGCCATTGAAATCCGAAAAAGGAGACAAGAAAACAAATTTCCTTCCCTAGCTCCAGTGTCCTCCAAAACTGCCTTGTTTTATTGTCTTATTGTCGAAGAGAAGAGAAGTGCAGCATCCAGCTTATTGAAGCTATTCGGAGTTTTTCCGAGGTTCACGTAATTTTCGCTCAATGAACTCAGCACAGTCTTTCATTAGCCGAATTGCCTCGGATAGTAGATTATCTTCCTAACAGCGTCACAACTAAGGGTCACAGCAAATCCGAATGAGGTGCTACTGTTAGTTGGTTTAGGTGAATAGGAGAAAAAATCGAAATTTAGAGCTAGGAAGGACATTTCAAACCACCTTCTCACATCATTCGCGATCATTTTCTCTTCCATCTTCGATTACTTGCAGTACTTTGAGAGCATATGGGATGGCAAAGATCGAACTATGATTGGTGAATTCGATGCTGACAAAGCTACTGCTACCACTGTCGTGATGTTGAACGGACCTTTTATAGCCCTCTATCTTAATGTGGTGACTCAACCACAATGTTGGTGAGATATTTGCAAAGCTCCGGACGGCAGGTGTTTGCGGTGGGCAACGAACGCGCCACTACTCTTTCCGAGGGATAACGCGTTCACCACCACACCATGCGGGTCCTTCGTTTCGCCTGTCTCTCAGCTAGTTCTATCGATCTTTTGCCATCAGCAATCACCCGTCAACGGGATTGATCTGGAGAGTCCAAATCGGTATTGAACCCAGTTAAACTGAGGCTATAGTTATAATTTACTGCCTATTCTTTTTAACGGTAGGGTATCTTGCGGAATATAACTTCTATAATGCTGAGACATTTGCAAAATTCCGGACCGCAGGTGTTTGCGGTGGAGAACGAACGCGCTATTGTCCTTTCCGGGGAGTAACGCGTTCAACACCACACCATGCGGGTCCTTCGTTTCGCCAGTCGCTCAGCTAGTTCTATCGATCAAGCCATCAGTAATTACCCATCAACGGGATTGGTCTGGAAAGCCCAAATCGGCAACAAACCCAGTTAAGAAAAACAAAAAAGTAAAAAAATAATAAATAGACAAATAAGGATAAATAAAAATTAGCTAAATAAATGAACAAATAGATAAATAAATAGTAAAAGGCAGTAAATTAAAAAAGTCAACATTACCCTAATGTTGTTCGTGATAGTAGTGCAGGTTCCCAACAATCGGTCTTGCTTTCAGAATTTAGTGGTCGTTATTGCTCTTTTAGTATGTTTTAATATGTTTGCTTATTATACTCGAATAATCAGAATGTTTTCTCGATGATGTAATTGGAACCAAGAGAGATATAAGGCTGAATCGGACCTGCTGTGAAGATTCGTCCATCTTAGGTCCATTGCTTTCCATGGTAGTACTCTGGAAATTTTCCACGAAGCAGCGTTTAATCCAGTTTATAAAGAGAATGAGAATCTCCTCATATCTCTACCTGGTCGACCACTTTTCTTCTAAGTGAACATGAAAAATGAGAATTTCTGAACATTTCGAATTTGATCTGCAGCCCTGCTAGTCCTGGCTGATTGCATTTGTAAATCTCTCGATATACTCCATGGGTAATGAAGTTGAAATACCGTAAAATTCGTAATTAGTTAACCCTGGACAGGACTGCAGTAGTCATTGAATAATTGGCTTTATTTATGGAGACTGGCTTTTTCATTTTTCTTTTCTTTTCCAATTTTTTTTACTCTTTTCTCCTTTTTATACCAAAGACTCCATTTTTATCCCACATATTATACATGTACACATATATATATATATATATATATGTATATGTATATGTATATCACAGCTATATTTCTTTTGCACAATTCATAGGTCCTTCATAACACTTTGCTTTTTATTTATATTTATTTATCAACTTTCTTATTTCTCAACCATTCCAATTTCTCTTTAGAGGGAAATTATCATCTTTTATATCCCTTTTTATCTCACACCGTGTGTTGTCAGCCTTTAGCGGATCGGTTTCACGGCATATTCACTGAGCCTGTTCTTCACCAATGATGTCCAATTTTGTTATAGAGGCCATGATCTTATGGTTCCATAGTATTCTGGAAGATCGCCTCATTCTGAATAGTTCATAATGGTCTAAAAATCAAAGATTTACAGTCCCTCAGTACGACAACACACGTGACTGCTAGTTTACTGCATATATGAAAACTTAATTACCTAAGTTTGACCTCCATTTAGCTACGCTCCTTGTTGTATAGTGAAAAGTCCGATAGTCCAGCAAGGCTTCAAAGTTGAACCAAATATTATTTTGGTACTACCAGTATTCCACCATGGGCGTGGCATATTTTGAATGAGCATGCCTCTAGTTCCCTCATAATATCAGGCGTTTTCTACCGTAATTGAATGTAGATATAAGAATGCTTAGCTCTTGAATTAAGAACAAAGGTGTAATTTCTTCCCACAGACGTTAGCAGGACTGATAATGATTAATTTGTCATTAATTGAACAAATTTCAGCGCAATAATAAGAGCATATAAATCAAAAATAATAAGCTTTACTATGCACAAGCATGCAGAAAATGACGAATATGACGAGACGGAAATGCGGATGGAAAGTGCGTAGCATCAGCGGTTCCTTGCAAGGCGACTCCTAGAGGGACCTTTTGCCGAATCGTACCATCATATCGCCCGCCGACGGGACACGTTTGTGCATCGCCAGGTAATCCCCAAATCTATACAGACGATAGTCGTCCATCGGCGTCAGCTCCTGCTGTGTAACTAAAGAAACGAATCTGACAAAACTACTAAACAAAAAATTGCTTTATTTTTGGCTTGCTTGGAATAAGATGGCTGCTTGATAATCGGTTATCTAGCCAATTCATTATTCTACGAGATTCATTTATACTAACGGTATTTACTAGCTTATAAACTGCACATAAATAGTATTACGCATTTCAGTGATTAGGCAGCAAAGATTTGATTGACCTCCATAGGATAAGAACTATCGCCAATCGTTCTTTTTCGGGAATCTGGAGATTGACCACTATCCTCATCTACTGGTTGCTCAGAAAAATTAACTAAAAAGATTCTGATGAACAATTCAAAAGTGTGGTCAATTGGAACGCTAAGTATACTACAAATTTTGTGTTAGGAGTTTCGTGACCAAGCGCATTGATTCCAATGCGTACGTTCATGAAAATAATTGCGTTCTTCGCCTTAATGCAAGAAAACTTATAAAGGATAACTGCTGAGCTTACGTTTGAAAATTTCCGCTCTGTTTTCGATTTTTTAAAATTCTATATCAGAGCACCATAGATGATAATTACATTTTGCAAAATCATGTGCAATTTGTGAACGGCAAAGTCTTTTCATTTAAAAGAAAGGTCAAAAAATCGACAAGATGGTGAATGCGAAGGAATGGTGTTGTGCCATATGTTCCCCGTGCTCAGTCGCCATTCAGAATTAGTGTTCTCTTCACGATTTTTCTGAACAGATTATGGGAATTTCATCGATCCAGGTAACTCCAGTGACTATAGTGGATCAACTAGTAGGCGATTGGTTGCTTCCATCTACAGTATCTTGAGTCGTATAGAAGCCTATCGTGAATTTAAGTCGCTTCACCTCTCAATCACTGGTCGAACGATAGACGGGAGATATTCTGGATATTCTGCATTAGTTTTCTGTAGGGGTAACTGGGCGCTCTTTTCTGGCATCTATTCTTTGTACACGAATTATATCCTGCGTATCGATTTTGCCAACGATCTGTAAACAGATTACAGAAATGTGCAAGAGGGGAGGTTATGAGCAACTCAAATAAGCCCTACAATTATTTCAGGAAAGCACAGAAAGCTATCGGTCGGCATGCCAATGGCAGGCTATTCGTCGCATTTTTTCTGGCGGCACTAATAACAATAAGTCGCGTTCAGATTTTAAAGAAACAACCTTCAATTGGATGAGATTGGCGACACTATTAGAATCTTAATACCTTATGTTGCCAAAATCTAGGAAACTACTGTGAGAACCAGCAGTTGCAACGCGCACAACTTAACATCGAAGGTTTCCATTGAATACATGACCTGAACGGTCGATACTGCTCACGTTTATAATCCTGGAAAAGAGCTATTCCCAGACAAGAGACGGTTACTTCTTTTGGACACGAGGTCTACAAGTTCTTCGCGCAAGTAACTCTTAATAAAATGACAGAATATAGACTGGAAGCTGAATCATAAGCAACGGTTATAAAGCCCTATGAAGCATCGTGAAGGTACAAAATTCCGCTGTATCCCACTTTTATGGACTTGGAGAAAGGAATAATTTGAGATATAGCTAGTTATGACAGCTTTACAATCAGGTTCGTTCTCACCACATAAACATCACTCATGTGCTATACTGGAAGGGACAGTTGAGCAAAAAGAAACGACCAGAATAGGAAGCTTACCAAGAGCACGAAGAGTGGAGTGAAAAAGAAATGCTATGCATAACAGACTTGCCCCATTTTGTTGGGAATTTCTATCGTTTTAATGTACATACATCGTAGACCATGAATCCATGAACCAGAACAGAAATTCGCTCGGTATTATCGAAGACGAGGTTGGTAAGGTGATAGTAGGAATCCTCTCCCATGAACTAAATAACAGTTTGACGAGCTACATTAGTGAACAGAAGGGCAGGAGAATGCCGTTACGATAAAAAATCGAAAATCAGATGAATCAGATGAACCGAACGTTGAATGTTTCAACAGCGGCGGATATGTAAGAATAGTCTCAGGCCGGAGTCCAAGAGATGTGAAGCCCACGAAACAGGCAGACAGATTATCAAATTGGTGGAAAGACTTGTTCAAAAAATCTCAGATAAAAAAAACATTATGCATGCACTTGACTATAGCCTAAGGTTAACTGGGTTCAGCGCCGATTTGTGCTCCCTAGATCAGTCTCGTGACGAGTGATTGCTGATGGCACTGGTAGATAGAAAAACTAGCTGAGAGACAGGCGAAACAAGGTTCCTGCATCGTGTGGCGGTGAACGAGTTAGCCTCCGGAAAGGATAATAGTGCGTTCGCTCACCACTGCAGACGCCTGCATTCCGGCGTTTTGCAAATATCTAAGCATCATTGTTGTTGTATTATGCTTGCATTTTCCTAAGAAATTACAATTTCATTCCCTACGAGGAGAAAGAATCAACTGGATACTTCTAACCCGTTACGAAAAACACTCGCGATTTTCTTAACTTTCTTTCGTGGGATTTTCTTGGCACCAACTCCAATCACTCGATCATTCGCTTTTAACTTCGATCGGGTAGTAGAGGTTTCGTCGAATGTTGTTCAGAAGGAAAGCAATCAAAGAACAGCTGCGATATAAAAAATAAACCTTGTCGCATCTTTAGAATTTGTGAAGGACAGAAAATGGTGATGTAAGAAGGAAAAAACTGTACGGGATACCCAAGGTTTTATGATTTGTCCCGTGTTTAAATCGTCCCGATTAAACGAAGGCAGGAATTTATATGGTGAAGGTATTTTTCGTCTAAAAATATTTCCTAGTTAATAAAAAATACTTTAGCGAAATGGCGAATCGACTGCGCCTGTTATTTAACCACTAGAAATCCATAACTAAGTTCTGGTGCGGGCAATTCATTCATACCACAAATCCATTTGTGATCTGCAATGTATTCTGTATCTTTCATACCAAAACACAACTGAAGTGCTTCCATTATTGAAACGGTTGATATGAATAATGTTAGAGACGCCATATAGAAAAGATAGTGATTGATTGCTTACCGTATGCTTGCGAAAGTGTAGCGTGAAGAACGCAGATGTAGCAGGAGATGAGCACCATGGCCAACGCAATCGATCGCAGTGAACTCATACATGAAACAGAATATGGACAGCATCCGAGTGTTGTGACCCAGGACATTCGACATTAGAAATGACAAAAGGAAAGAGGCGCTCAGAATGCGATGTAAAGAAGGCAATAAGAGATCGCGGAAGGAAATGCTGGCTGCCTCGCTGTTCAGCATGTTCTCCCAATAGATGTTGGTGGCTCGACCGCATTACAGACAGTAATTTAATATTATATATGACACTTTGCAATTCTTTGTCTTCTTTGCTTCTCTGGTTCAAATGCGCGTAACATTTTGGCAAACCATGGATTCATAATGAAAAAGTTCCATTTGAATTATAAACCCACACGATTCCGCCCTCCCACCCATTACACCTTCCAGATGGAGGACGAGAATTACGAAAGCTCTTGAAGGTGTTTGCATTTAGAAGATAGGGCTTGAATTATAAAGGAAAATTATGGATTATTAAAGAGAAGCAACTGTCTCACAAGTCCTACCTGCCCTCCTAACAACGGGGTCTGATTACTGTGAACCACATAAACCTTCTTCCCTCCACCCAGACAACTAGCAGAAATGGAATTCAACAAAGTCAACAAGAACAAAAGAAACAAGACTCAAAAGTTCTTGTTGATAGGATAGCTTTTGCCGTTTATTTGATTCCTTAAAGCATATGTCATTAAGTCTCGCGAACATCAAGACTATACTTTCGTTCGACATTTTTTTCAGTTTTGTCGAGGATTACCTATTTCTGAAGGGTGCGTGTCGCGCAGTGGTTGGAGGCGCCCTGCAACACATAAGTGGAATTGATCCTCGCCCCCACGGTTCACCAAGCCTTTCATCTTACCGGGGTCGGCAAACTGGTACCAGACTTGTCTGAGAGGACAGCAGCACTGACTCGATACATGGGTAGGCTACCGTGAGCCATTGTAGAAGCCAGATATGCATTCAATCAACTCTAAACGATGCTTAATGAAGTCGAGTACATGGCGCATCCCTCAGGGATTGATCAACGCTGACAGCTTTATCCTTTTATATTTTACCTACTTCTGTATGCACTACATACAGAACCAAATATTCTCCACGTTTTCAATATGACTCGACACTGAATACTGTGCAGGTCCCACCAATACCCACATTCAACTTGTTTCCTCACACTCACTGTCGACAATACTCGAAGGATTAACCTACGACTTTGGTTGTTACATGAAAATTTTTTGGTTCTCTTTATGAAAGACGTTGAATGCTGCTCGAGTCGGCTCTCACCGAAATCCTGAGGTAGCCGTGCTAGAGAGTTCCTAGGTCTTCAGCGCAAGCAATTGCCATTCCTTGTAAGTTTCGTCCTGAAACGTCTGCTACCGAATCCTCGACCCTGAACAGGCCGGAGGCATGGTTGGCCCGAGGCAGGGTTGAGCCAGGGCTTTGCGTTTATTCAACGGTAGCACAGGCTAGACGTTAAGAATCCAAAAAAAACCCGTAAGACCCTCTTGGTTGACGGCAGGGTATGTTGCGAAATATAACTTCTATAATGCTGAAATATTTGCAAAACGCCGGACCGCAGGTGTCTGCGGTGGAGGACGAACGCGCTATTGTCCTTTCCGGGGAGTAACGCGTTCCCCACCACACCATGCGGATCCTTCGTTCCGCCTGTCGCTCAGCTAGTTCTATCGATCTTTTGCCATCAGCAATCACCCGTCAACGGGATTGATCTGAGGAGTCCAAATCGGTATTGAACCCAGTTAAGCTGAGGCATAGTTATAATCACAGCTTAACCCTTTTATTTACTGCCTTTTTTTTGATGGCAAAAGATCAATAGAACAAGCTGAGAGACAGGCAAAACGAAGAACCCGGATGGTGTGGTGGCGAAGTGCGCTACTCCCCGGTAAGGACAATAGCGCGTTTGTTCCCCACCGCGGGCACCTGCGGTCCGGAGTTTTGTAAATATCTCAGCATTATAGAAGCTATATTTCGCAACATGCCCTGCCGCTAAAAGAATAGGCAGTAAATAAAAGGTTAAGTTACCAGTTAGAATTGTGAAGTAATGGTAGTCATTATTGAAGAAATTAAGGCAAAATTAATTAATTAACTTAATTAAGGCAATTGCTAGTCGATTTCGCAGCTCAGAGAAGCGAACTTTATCTGTCAAAGAACAACAAAACCCTCATAGATCTCTGCTAAACGCGAAAATCGCTATTAAAGACTTTCTATCGAATGCTGATTGT